ACAATGGATAATAGGATAGCAAGTATTTTATAATAACCGGATTTATCGTGCAAAATTGTCTATTGAATATTTAAAGGGTCCTTAATAAATGATAATACGAGACCACACAATTAACAAGTTGCATGTCTTCACGATAATTTACTGTCAACACGGAGGAATTAACCTGGACGTATGTAATTGCATTTAAACGGGAAAAGTAAGAAGACTTTTCTGAGTAAAAGAAAAAAAAAACATTTGTCCTTGGGTTCTTAATTAAAATGCACTTACGTTACTGCATAACTACAATATACTTTGAACTGACTACCCCTTCTCGTTTATTTTATTGAAAAGATTTAAAATATTTAAAAATATGTCTGATTTAGCTATGCACTTTCAAAATACATGTATAGTAAGATTAATCTACAAACCCTAACCCGTTCTAAAAAGACCAAATCATTTAGATGAACGTCTAGACTTTCGTTCACAGTCAAAGTGAAGAACATAAATAAAAGAATTATTACTTTGTAATTGCAAAGTATATCTTTGGATTGTTGTCTTGTTCATATTTGCCATTATTCCTGTTTTACTTAAAATTGTTAATAAAAAGTATATAAATGTTTCCTTTATATTACCTATATCTAATGAAAGAAAATATGTTTAAAATAAATCATATATGAGTAAAGAAGAACGGGGTTGTGGCAACGGCGAACGAAACATATCCTAATCAGCTGGTACTCTTATATTCCGTAACTATTAGCAAACTCATGAATTTATCAAATGGATATGTTTTCAAAATAAATGCAAATGTGTGTAATAAGTTACACAAAACGTCATACTTTTATCACACGAGTCATGTTCCATTGTAACTTTTGAAGCCAGAATTTTCCATTTAATGAATTATATGAAACATAACAATAGTTGTGCTTTACACAAAATGTATCGATATAAAATCGTTTAATTCCATTAAAAGTCATAAAAGTAAAAAAAGAAATGATAAGTTAACACAAAGTATCTGGTATTGAATAACTGGAATAGTAGATAGTTTTCACATTAATCGATTGATTGTTGTTTGCTAAACGTCCAGTGGAAAATATTTCATGCAAATTCAGAACGAGAACAATTTAACAAAATATTCAATAGGTAGGTTCTGCAAAGTAGGCCGGGATAGAGGACGGGGATATTCGACTAACACTGGAAAATGAGTGCATGTTAGATAGGGCAGAAATTTTGTCGTGCAGCAGCCTCCTACTTACCCTTAAAGTATTTATGCAAGGGTTCTTTAACGTGCCGAGAGTGTAGACCTCTTACTTGACAGGACTTGGGATTAAACGCCTCAATTCAATTTTTTTTCCATTGTTAAATAATCAATATGTAACATTGTCGACTACTGTTTTCAAAACGTGGAAATATATATTTAAATTCTATTAGTAAACAAATTCACGTATTTTTAAAAGTAACTATTAAACTAAACCTCACATGACATCGCAATCGATTATGTTTTTCAAGTCCTAATATCAACATTTTTAAATATTGAAGTGGCAGAATAACGACTCATTTTTAATTTTGTTTATCTAACCTCTTCATGGTGTCTTTATTAAATATCACATATGGTCATTAGCTGGCTAATGAAAATTATCGCCCTATTGTAGCAAATCATTTTCAGAGTATGAAGTGCATTCTAAAGTGGTACAAGAACTAAATCAACAAATCGTACACTTGTCTTAATTAAATCATTTTATCATCAATAGTATAATGTAATTCAATATATGAAAAGAGAAATGTGATCTAAGGGTTTCACTTTACATAACCCTTAAATTAATAATATAAAATATTAATGAACTAATTAAAAATGTTTCGAATTCCTGTATGGTTTAGCATTCATTTAATGATCTTTGAGATTAACCTAGTTACATAGTTTGATAAATTAAATCATGTATTTAAATTTCCGATCAGTTCATAGTTCAGCTTTCATTTAAATAATAATTGCATTAAAGATAGATAGTTAATTTAGTAACCCTTCTAACGAAAGTCGTGCTTCATGCGTATTTAATTTCCTATTTTTTCTCGTTTTGTTCTGAATTGACTGTAATATTGCCCACTTCAAATAAATTTACTCAGATTGTTAAAAGCCTGCTGCTGGAAGGACAGGAAAGTTAGATATAAGTCTGATGAGAATGAATGTTACCAACAGAAGCAGTGTCATATTATATATACGGAAATCAATCATCAAGACGTGATCATCAGTTATATATTGTAACAACAGATTATAAAGTCACATTTCTAACACTGTAAGTCAAACTTCCGTTGCACAATTACAGAACAGAATATCGCGTTAAAAATATCCCTCTGAATAGTATTTTACAGACGAAATTATAAATCAAAATTTTAAGCTATACAAGTGTAATACCCCCATCACACTAGGACGAAGATCTCGCTACGACCTCAAAAATTATGAAAAATTTTGTTAGTCGTAGTAAGATCGTGGTGGTCGAGGTAAGGTCGTAGTAAGGACGTGCCAGGTCTTCATGATCGGAAAGGTCCTCGACCAACCTTGAACAAGCTCAACACATTCGTGGTGTAGTCGTGGCCAAAACTAGTCGTAGTAGAAGCGTAGGAAGGTCGTAGCAAGGACGTAGTAAGATCGGGATGATCGTAGAAGCATCGTATTGGAAACGTGGTGCCATCGGGAAGCCAATGGAAAAGATTTCGCTGAGACCTTACTACGATTTCACTGCGACTATCCCGATTTCACTACGTCTTTATTACGCTTCTACTACGGTATTGATACGATTATACTACGATGAGGAAGACAACAGTACGCTGCTACTACGCGCTTGCCGTCCTTTGTATGACCTTACTACGATACTACTAAGTCCCAGCAACGGTAAGGGAGCTACCATTTGATTTTTATTGGGGGGGGGGGGGGGGCTAGGATGAAAAATTTTGTCCTGCATTTTTTTTTTAGTTGTAATCTCTGTCCTGCCTTTTTATTTTTCACTCTATTCGGTCCTGCCTTTTTTTTATTAGTTTAACCTGACTTTTTTTACATTGTCATCCTGCCTTTTTTTTTTTGCCAAGTTGCTCATCCTGCCTTTTTTTTTAACTCAAAACTCCTGTCCTGCCTTTTTTTCAAATTTCATCCTAGCCCCTCCATAAAAATCAAATGGTAGCTCCCTAATTGCCCGACCTCATTCTGCTGATATAAAAAAAAACGGATGCAATATCTTCTACCTAAGTTTTTGATACCTTTAACGGCATGTTTTCTTAAGGAAACTGGTGTGTACAATGGGAAAGTTAAGATATCTATAGGGACGAAGAGCGCAGTGACAACGTAGTGGAGTCGTGGTTCAATCGTAGTAGACTCGTATTGAGATGGTAATGTGATTGGGAAGGTCTTGGTAGAAGCTCACAGAGATCGTGACAAGATTGTAACTTGAACGTGTTACTATCGTAACGGAATCGTAGCAGGATCTTGTCAGTATCATAGCTAGGTCGTGGTATGAACGTGAAAACTATGAAATATTGAATATTCAAGCTGACCATACCACGATCTCACCGCGATTTTATTTTTTTATAGATCGTAGTGGGATCTTCATGGTCTTGGTCTAGTGTGACGGAGGCTTAATAAGTCTGATAGTATATCTTGCATAAATGTTAAAAAGGCCCCAATAATGATGACCTAATAAAATGTGTTATTACGGTTGTAGCGATAGGTGACAAAACATTTAACATATTGCAGATTTTTTTTTAAACAAACCGCAATTCGGGTTTTCATAAACTATAATTGGAAGAGTGACATGCTTAGTCAGGTTACAGTAATAAGAATGTGTTTTAGTGCTGTTGTACATCTTTCATTTCCAAAATTTAACATATAAAACGAATGGTTGACGGTAAATAAAAGAGTAAATTTAAAATTGATAGGTTGGGTACTTAACATCTAGTGGCAACTATATTACATGCATGTTCAGTACGTTACTTACTTACTTCTCCTCTTCATCCCCAATGGGACATAAGGCCACAACAAACTGCCTCCACTTCCCTCTATCCTTAGCCATGTACTGGGCTTGGCCCCAGGTGTATGTTACCAATTAATAAATATTTGACTCAAGTGTATAAAAGAAAAGAAAATAGATTATCCTGCTCATTCTAGGCTAGCTTGCTGAGACGAAATTTAAATTTGCTACAATTTAGCTTACAAGCTTAAAAAAGGGGAGACATACTATATACATGAATCCTCTCCTGTAGATATTATTTGTCTCCGTGAAAGAAAGGTATTTGCGTTTTAACTTCAAATTTAACACTTTTCTGTTTCTCGCTCAGCCCTGTGCATAGTAAGATGTATACATTTCGTGGAAAAGAAGCGCAGGTCAGTCTCAAGCTGTTACACACTCGTATTTGAGACGCACACCCTAGTACAAGATCACAGAAACGGTTGGACAATTTCTTTGAAAGATATTACTATTCACAAGAAGTCTTTGAGAGAAAAGCGTTTAAAATGTGAACTAAAGTCAATGCCATTAATATCTGGGACTGTCAGTTATGTAATAAAATTAAACTTGAAATCAAACAGTTTGTCGCTTTATTTTTGTACCATTGAGTATTTGTAATCTTTTGATGTATAGGATTTCTCTGTTATTCAAGGAACACTTATCAAAAATTAACCTTCATATAAACAATTAAATAAATTCAAATATGAAAAGTAGAGAATTAAATGACCTATTCACTCCTTCTTATTTTTGGATTGTTACTATTTTGTTAGTCTTTTAGAAGATTTACACCCATTACAATACAGAGATTTACCTACCGGGTATATTATTATATATTCTTTATAAATCAAATTAAAAAGTTTAAAGATTGATCCTTTTGAAACATAATTGTTTTAAATTTCCAGCACTTAACATTGAACCACTATTTAACCGTTGATCTACAATTTTGTCAATTATCCGTAATAAGAGAAGGTGTCTATTATCATTTATATTTTTTATTAATCGAAAATTAAAAAGAGAGCTTATTATCTTGTCTAAATGGCACCACAACCTAACACAAGAGTTGGTCTGATTTATTTTGTACCACAGTGGAAATTTGAGGTCATGCAGTAAATTTATCAATCGTATGACATTTGAAATCAGTGCGCAGAAACGAATTAAATATATTTGAGAAGTAGTTGGATATATCGTTATTTCTCATCAGGTTAGTATTATTGTTTTTCTCTCATTTATCCTTTTTATACAAATTTAAAAAAATATTTGCATCGCAATTACATGTATTATAACTCAACTAGTAGTTACACGAAGAACAACATCTTTAATCATCATTTTTTCTCAAAACTTTTGTTCATATATTTAGCAGAATAAGGAAGGTTAATTGATATAGTTATTTACTTTTTTCAACTTGTTTTTGTTCAACAATATATTGATTATTGATTTCATTGTTTCATATGCTTCTATTTCATTCACTGTCGTATTTTGAAGTGAAAAAAAACAACAGATACGTTACAGAAAATCTACTCAATACAGATAATTCGTATAAATGTATTGTATTCCGTATTGATGAATTCAAATTGTTAAATTACTTTCAATTCTTTTCCATCATGGAAACGATTCTCGCCGCCATTTTATCCAATTTGGTGGTAACAGAGCCCAATTCATGACAAATAAATAAATAAATAGATAAATGGATGTAAAACTGATAGCTGGTAGTCTTTAAACCATACTAAGGACAAACGCATGTTGATATGAACGTGCTGAGTTAGGTGTTATTGTACGAACTCATAAACTAACAATCACCATACTCATACCAGACACATTAATCTGGCTCAGCTACACTGGCAATTTTTGCTTACGTGAATTTCATATGAAACTAATGTGATGAGATTCACATGAAATTCACGTGAGCAAAATTTTGCTGTGAAGAATCTACAGTTCTTTGCCCTTATTTCTAAAAGCAGTTTGCTTAGCATAGAGGCAATACATACAAGTTTTACCAGTCTTTGATTTGACCCAGTCGGGTTAAGAACCCATTACCTCATCCGTTTGCGCGGCGACCATGGTTATGTAGATTACTTGGATTACCATATATATAAAGGACAGTACAACCGACTACAACAACATCAACACCTGACTTTAGATAAAAGTAACAAACTTAAAATTGAGAATGGAAATGGGGAATATGTCAAAGAGACAACAACCCGATCAAAGAGCAGATAACAACCGAAGGCCACCAATAATAGTAAACAAGTTTGTTTATACTATAAATTTCAAGTTGATTTGAACATAACTTCATGGTAAATTACCTGAAACCAAAACTTTAACATAATACGGGACTGAGGGATACACAGACCACACACACAATTTCCCCTCCCCTTTAATGTCGTATGCGGAGTATATAAAGATGCAGGAGTACGTCTTTAGTGGAAGTTTTGTTGAGTTACAGATACTAGACCACTTTTTTCCTTTTTCGGAAGGGACGGATTATCAGCTCAGTATGAAATAATTTAACCAAAATAACGGAGTTTTCTTGTCTTAAGTAAACAGTTTACATTCAATTGGATTATTGATGTAACTTTTAATGTTTGTCATAACATAACTTATGTCTAACGGGTAAAACTGTGTTGATGATTTCCGTCTTCATTGTTTTTCGTCGTTTATTGTTGGGTAACAGATTCGATATTTTACCCGATATCGTCAATATTATTACTACAACTAGGTCGTTACCTCTGCTTGTAGACTATTAGTCCCCGAGGGTATCACCATCACAGTAGCTCAGTACTTTGGTACTGCAAATACGGATTTTGTTTTATTGAAATTTGCTATTACAAAATTTTAGAAATCATTTTGAATTCAGAAATCCACGTTAATTAATGTTATTTCTATCACTTGGTCGATATCGCAGCTTGGTGAACTGTTAGTCCACGATAGTATCACCAGCTCGGTAGCCAGTACTTTGGTACTGGCATGCACAAGTACTGGCATCAAATTACGGACATTGTTTTGAGTTCTTTTCTATAAAGTTATTTCTTACTCGAGCATCGGAATCTGGTGCAGTAAAATTGGTACAGTTATTGTTGTTAATACTATGATGATTTGACTTATCAGCATTGTACTTTAAAAATTTACCTTCCTACTCGTACAATTTCTCTAAAATAGCAGTTGTTCTATATGTGCTATATTAAACATTTTGGAAACTCTTGTATTATTTTTTTAAAGTTATTATTTTATTTCAAGTGTAACTATACTCAGATTAATCTCGATAAATTTTCGGCTTTACCCTTTTCATTGATATACGTTAATATGTGAAATTATAGTTGTGTATTGATTTATTTGTCCCCGCTTAAGTTAAAGTTAAGTTCTCAGGACAATGGTATGATCATTTTAGTATACTTAATGTCTATTCCTATTTTAAAGGTATCAATTAAACACGAATACAATATATGCCATTAAAATATTCATTTAATCAAGAGTGACATTTGTTGTATACATAAAAATCATTTGGTTTGAATTTAAAATTTCTCATTTGAAATATGAGAAGACCAAATTTAATTATAAATTCGAATTAGTCATCTTTTTTCTTTTTATATTGGAAGTTACACTATGACAATGATACACAATCCCGAATAGGATAAAATCTGAAATTTTAGCGATTGCGTCCTATCCCCTATTTTTGACAATTTGACCGAGTTAGGATTACAAATGGATTGCATGCGATTGATTCCCTCAGTTTGTGTTTGTTACTTTGATTTGTCTTTTTTAATCGATTTATGAGATATTAATATCGGCATTTTTCTAGTTTCCAGACAATAACTTGTGTTCATATATGGATCTCTCTGAAATTGTACTGCAAGGTACCATACCACAAAGGGAAGGCTGGGATTGCTTTTGGGGGTAATTGTCTCAAAATTTAAGGAATTAGGGGCCAAAATTAAACTCTGATTCCCAGAAAGTACATGTACAAGTAGAGGTTTCAAAAATAACTTTTAAAGCTTTTGGTCAAAATTTCGTTTTTAGAAAAAAATCTGGATATTTTCATTTTTAGTAGTAAGTTTTTCAGATTTGTTTTTACTATTTTATCCCATTGAAGATAGCCTATTCACTACTGTTCACTGTCAACTATTTTCATAGCTGGAATTAAAATGTTTACTCAAGTTACATGTGTGTTAAGTGTGTTTTATAAAATGTTATATGGATGGCAAAATTAAACGTCTCACATTAACAGCTAACTGTTAACTCCTCATTGCTAAATATGTTTTGTTAACGTTTGACTGGCCACACATTGATGACCAGGTATATCGCCACTAAATTATAATGTGCCTTATGGTCCTCCACAAATATTTTATTGACAGCTAGTTGTGGTGTTCAGATGCAGAGTGGGAAAAGGGAGCGATTCAGACCATTTGAATGTATTGTGGGCATTATTTAGAGTAATATAAACAAAACGTATAACATTTTCATCACTTAAGAGTAAATGTTATGAAAGGTGTATACTTACAATATTAAGTGTATGTGTGTGTTACACTTAATTTTCCTTTACTATGTTTAATAAATTATAGTATGTTCCTAACTTCCGCAATTATCTTTATTGAAGTAATCGTTTACAGAATACGGATATGCACAGAATATTTTTTTCTTAAAAATTTGATAAAGACAAAATTGTCACTTCCGCATTTATTAATATTGATTTAATTCTTTTATTGCAAATAACGATCACGCAAAATATTTGTTTTCCCTTAAAAATTTGATAAAGACGAATATATAGGGTATATAAATGTTCGTCACAGAAACAATAATCGACAGGCACCATTGAACAATGTCAATGTACCGAAGTCAGCTTTTATGTCATATCTTTTTTTTTCTTGTTGAAAATATGGTTTTTATGGCAGATCTTTGATCATTTCTGTTTAGTTTGTTCACATATTTTTGGGCCTCGGGCCAACTTAAAAGTTCTGCAGACAGCCGTCGTCTGTCGAAGAAAGCACATTGACCTCTAAATTCTAAATGTGTTATTTCATTATTTTCATCGTTGGGTTGCTGTCTCACTAAAACCCCACATTTCTTTTTATTCTCATGCTGTACGAATATACCGGTTCAATACTGTAACTCTCTTGGCAGAATGAATTAGATTTGGGCATTAATCGACCATATCTTTTATACTTCATCAACCTCACATGTAAATTAGTTTTACGTCTACAGTAAGTACCAAAGAACGGTATGTACTATTACTTGATATTTGATGTTTTTTACAGGTACGTAAGGAGCAGTGATGTTAATTTTATAAAGGGAAAATATTGTTATTGTTTTAAATACATCTTCGACTGTATGGTGTTGAATTGTAAATATGACATAGAGATGAGGAAAGTAGGATTAATAGTAACTTCGCTTTGCAGGGAAATAATCTCAATCACAATTATAATTATGTTAAAAATGTCACAATTCTTAGCGTTGAAAAACATGATCATAGTTAAGTATTTAGATAATTTATAAACATAAATTTAAGCTTTCTGTCCTCGGGAGGGAATAAACAGATTAAGAAATATGATCCTACACGTACTTGTCATTAGCAATTGTGCGGAAGTGCTTACTTTACTGGAGCACATCACTTCACCCAAAGTGTTTTAATTGGGTTTATTTTGGTATAGATATATAGTTTCTGTGTTGTTTTATGTAATGTTTTCTCTTTTTTTTTTTGGTTTTCAGTTGATGTTTTTGTCAGTGGTGGTATTGCCTATTTTTGTCATGAAAACTTTGTCATATTTTCCTTCAAAATTTTCACCTATTGGAGCAAGACCTTCTTTCACAAAGAGTGGCTCAGCAACACTCTTGACCCCCGATCGTTTGTGGAGTATATGTTGCTCCATCTTTAGTTTCCTGGGTACGGTATCGTGCTTATTGGTTAATTGCACCATGGTATCTTCTTATGAATAAAAGGGATTTGGATATCAAAAACCTGTTATTAACATCATATTACCTACAGGACTACAGATATGATTAAAGAAAACTCAACCACACACATGAATGTGGGTTTTTATATTTTAAGGAATATTCTTTGAATATACTTCAAATATAAGCACTTATACATTATTTTCATCTCTGTACAATATCATTTAAAAGATGGTAGATTTTTTAAGGGACTTTATTCTTCGGTACAGACTGGTATCCTATAACATTGATCCTATTCCAGCTACTTACCAGTGTTTGTTCACGTTTCTATTCAGTTACTTATAATATCGCTGTTAGCAGTTTGTCTATTGAGTCAAACAAAAACCTGAAAGATAATTGTATGCTGGTCTGCCTTATAAATAATATTACCAAAACAACCAGGATGTGGTAGGCTGCTATACCTGCAATTGGTTTCATACTGCCATGATAAATGTTTACATTACAAATTTTGTGATAAGATTTAGCAAAATCGACTAATTAATTATACACGTTTCTGACTTTTTTTTAGTACAATTGATAATCCATGCAATATAACAGTAATTTTTTTATAATATTAAAAAGTTATAATGTCCAAACTATAAACCTCTTTGATGATTTAAAAAAATTTGACACAGTGTTCTATGAGGACATACCTTTTCCTACAACTTGTGATTCATTGGAGGAAATACTGAACGATTCAAACAAGATTGGTGTTAATGTGCCCAAAACACATTACGAACATTAGGATAATTTATGTAGATTTCTTAAAATTTTACCCACAATACATTTTTTAGGATTTGAAACGTCTCCAAAGCTGACATCATATTAGATGAAATGGCATTAAAAGTTGCACACGTATACACAATATAATCTCCAAAAAGTATATTTTTCCTTATACATGTATTCGTTTACTCATTTTGGTGCTATGTCTATTTATAACCATAATTAATGATATTTAGACTATAAGGGTATTGACTGTAAGTGCGGTGATTATTTACGAACTAATTATTGATCTTTTCCTGATTTTCTTTTCTTTTAAGAACATTAAGAAAGAACTACTTTAAGTACTTTAATTCGATATAATTTACTGAAGACGTATGAATTCTTTGTTAATTCATATACAAGAACTGAAGCAACCAGTGCATGTAATACATGTATGCAATGTGAACTATCATAACATTTAGTATTCAGATGACTTTTTCATTACCAATAAAGTTGTACCATTTTTAACATGAACTAATATAATTATTAAGTTTTACTCCATAAATAAACTTTTTATGTTGATTTGAATTTTATCATCTGATTTATTTTTGACTATCCCGTTTCTTTTATCAAATAATTACTAGTATTTTAGCTATTCCGAAAAACAAAGATTAAATCTTTGCTATTTCAATATCTACATGCCGTATAAAAATGAATACTTTAAAGATTTTGCTTTAGATATACCATGGAATAGGCGAATATTTCGGATTTATTTTGTTGTGAAACAAACCATTGGATTGTAAATAGAATAGAAAATAATTTTGGATTTGATGACAGTTTAATAGACTCTTTTTACAGATGTCGAACAATCTTGATAACCGGGTTAGTTTTAGAGTTTTTTTACGTTGTGAAATTTTAGCATATCGTTTACTGAACATTTTGGCAGTTTGATTGTTTCGTTTTATTTATTCCAGAATGCCACAGGTCCACAACAAATCCATTCTTCTGGATGGAAATGCATTTGGAAAGAATTCTCGTTTCATGAACACTATGAAATTTAGTGATGTAACAAAACGACGAGTCAGAGCATTTAATGTGGTGGAGAACCGTTTAAGTAAATATAGAATAAATTATTACAATAGACAAGCAGAAATAGAGTTCAATCGTGTTCAAAAACAGAAAGAAACATTACTAGTTAGAATGAAAAAACTTATGGCTTACAAAGTAGTTGCAAAACATCACAATATTTCGAATGCACAAGACTATCATGCAGCGTTAAATGAAGATAGATCTCCACGCAAAATACAAAAGGAGGTTAAAGAGATGATAAAGCAGATTTCACCACAGTACGTGAGAGAAAAGCGAGCTAGAGAGAAAATTGATGAAGCTAGGCGCCTCTGTGATGATGTTATACATAAAAATCGAAAACAAATTGATGTGATTTATCCTCCACCGAAACAATGGCTGCCATATCGAGAACAGGATGAGGACGATTCAAGGTCAAATGTAACAACTCCCCAATCGGCACCACCTGAAATGAATGCTGAAATGAGAATGCGAAGATTGACTCTGCCACAAAATCGGAGAACTGTAGGGGTTTCCAGAGCATACGTTATGGAGAAAAGTAATCTTGGTGAAAAATTAGAAAAAGAAAAGACTGCTATGGAAATACCCCCACAGAAAGATATGCTAATATCTGAAATAGAAACTAACGATAAAGAACTAAAGCCTGAGTTACCGCCAGTCATTGTTCGACGGTCAAGCTTAAAAGACGATGCTTTACCAAAGCAAAAAGCTAATCGATTAGAAAAACCGAACTATGAGCTTGCCCCAGTTTCGCTCAACAAAAAGATTAAAAAAGAGCTTGATATTAGGTCAGACTAAAATTGGTCATTTAATCACTTTTGAAATTAGATGTTTCACTAAAGGAAGTACTTGCTTCATTATGAGAATCAGTGCTATTTACTCTTCCAGGTACAGAAACAAATATTCCCTGCAATCTTAGCAGAGGAACAAGATCAGGTATAGATAGACGCAATTCTATGTAGAAATATAGACGGTATTGATTATTGATTATTGTGTCTCAGAAAACTGCTTACCTCAAACCAATTAAAGTATTTCAAAAGAGAGATATGGAATATTTTATTTCATTCTGAGCATGTTTTGATAAAATTGAATTTTTTATTATTGTTTTAGGAATCTTGAGAACTGCGGATACTAATATACTTCCGGAGTACTGTATACATATACTTTGTAAAACATGTTTAGTTTTAATTTGATAAACCAATTATACCAAAGTAGTAGAACCTATATTACACTTTTAATCTCCAAAGCAAATGTCAAAATCAACTCATTTTTAATAGCCAAAACATGAATGGTTTCAAAAAGCATTTAAACATAAAGGGTCCAAGTAAAACGACGTAAAACGTAAAATGTTAACTTTGTTTAAGGGATTTACAAAATATTTGCAATCTAGATGTTCCGTTGAAATCTTGTACTTTATGAGAAAGAAACATGGAACGATACGGACACGCTCTGTACAACCTTGTTTCACTCACCACTTCGAATGTGTACGAAGTCCGAACAGTGACAGTTGCTAAGCAGATTTTTTTAAGTGAAAGAAGCCAGTTTAAATTGAACTTGATTTTAAAAAACATTTGATGTTCCATATTCGTACAATTTCCATAAAAATAAAAAGATGTATTATGATTGCTAATTAGAAACTATCCACAAGAGACCAAATGAAGTAGATGTAAGCAACTATGTATCTAAGCTGTCCAAAAATAAATGCCAAACGACATTTGATTCCAATTTTGCAATGCAATATTCTCTATGTAAAGCTTGAAAATATTTAAAAAAAGTTGCATCTTTGGAATTATGAGTAAGAGTTAGCATTCAATATTCCAAAAAGTCTTTTTTTTTATAAATATAAATAACAACTTTTTCTTTTTTTATTATTTCGTAGACTGAAAAGTGTTTACTGTAAAAAAACCAATAAATATTCATATGACGCTTAAAATGTCAAAATTTCAAGTACACAATAGTGTCTTTTAAAATATTAAGCATAATCAAGGTTCGATGTTTACTTAATATGGAAATTTTTTATGCATGAAGTAAAATATTTCAACTTTTCGCTAATAGGCTTCTGTCATAGGGTCACATTTAAACTTTATCGATATTAAACATACGAGGATACATATAAAAGTATCAGTATAGTTTTAGAACCAAAATTGCATGAATAGAAGAATCGTAATTTTCACTTATGCATGAATTGTTTTCAATCAAGAATACACCTTTTACTCCTAAAGGAACTATTTTTTATTATTTTTTTCTGTATCGATGTACTAATAGGCAAAAAGGTATAACAAAATTATCGAACTCCAAGGTAAAGTCAAAAAAGGAAAGTTCATAAAAACTGACAAAATCAAACGTTATCAACAAACGGAACGAGTGGAAAACAACTGTCATATTCTTGACTTGATACAGGCATTTTCCAAAGAAATTGTTGGGCTAAACCTGGTTCTGTAGCTAGCTAAACCTCCAACTTGTATGACAGATTTGTATAGTTCCGTTGACAAAATTGGGTGAGCAACCCAAACGGACATAATAGAATACTGTGACACTAATTGGGATCCAGCTGCCAAAACCTTGTAAACATACATCACTTGTATACAACATAACTGACTTAAAAAATTCAAACAAAAGTACAAATAATTCTAACAAAGACGCAAAAAAAAAAGGGTTGTAGTATGTATTAAATTTGACAATGACAGCAATTTTAAGTTTGAACTCATTGGTTCTTTTAATTATAGAATAACATTGTGGTTAAAATTGCGAAGATCCGAACAAGAATAATATTTTCCTCAATAATTGCTAACCATATATCGTATACATATCATTCAAAAAAAGCTTTGGTAGGCACACTCGATTTTGTTTCCATTTTGCCAATGTATTTACTTCCAACTTGGAAGTGAGAAATGTCACCTTGGAACTTAGAAATGTCAATTTATAACTGATAAATATACATTTGGAACTAAAAAATGTCAACTAAGAACCGAGAAATTTTAACAACAGAATGTCCCTACCGGTTGTTCGTAGAGTTTTGTCAAAATAAATGTACCTAGATTTAAAGGACTATTGACTGAACTGATGTTCTTAAATTTCACATGAAGTGTATGCGACGTATTATAAATCTTCTGAAAATTGAAAACAAGTATTATTCACATTATCTGCGATTGCCTTTGAAAGTATTGGTTATTCAATTGGCATAATGCAATTATTTAGTATTACACCTACAAGTAGATTTTTTCTTAAGTTCACTTGAAAATAAAGGGCCACAATCCACGTGGCTATAGTGGAGCACATGCTGTTTTCCCTTGTGATCAATGCGGTTTGTGTTGCAAATCTCAAGTTTTCTGTGTAGTGTTTCAAGGATTGCTATTTGACTATTGGCAATGGTGTTGTTATTTTTTTCGACTTGTTGTTTACCTCTTAGAACCTTATCATTTTTTATCTGTCCCAAAAAAATATTCCATTTCTGCCAAGTGATCGGCTTATGACTCCTCTACGTTGTTTAAATGGTTGTTAATGTCCCTGTAAACAAATACTTTATTATGTGTAATGTGCAAGGTCTACTCACTTCCGTGCCGTGTTTCAGCAACAAGTCGAGAAGCAATGTAAGTCATCACTTATAATACTGTCGCTGATGGATTGTTAAAAATTTATCGACATTTTGTTCATTGGCTCAAATAATATCACGTGATTTACAATATCACATGATAAAATACATCTAACCATAAGAGGAACGTTCATAACTGCAACCGGAAAATGAGCGAATAAACACTTTAGTAAAACCTCGCATTCTCCGTTTCAACTATAATTTGATTACTGAAACTGCTTGTTATTGTCAAAGATTCACACAGTTACCATTACTTTGCATTCAAATATGCTTGTAATGGAATGGAATAGCAATGAAAAAACAATCTTTTTCATTCAGATTTTTACGTAAGCAAGGATCTAAATCAAGGTGCATGCTGTCAATCAGTCGCAAGCATTTAATTGGCAGCTTAAACACAACGCAAAACAGATAAGTGAAAGTCAAAAGTTTTATTTAAAGTCGATGTGCATAATTTACAATACAAGTTTGAATGAAGTACTGACATGGAACCCAGTCTTTTTCAAGAATATATTATATAATGAGCTCAAAATGGCCGCCAAGCAATGGCAATAAAGGCTCTGCCTTTAAAACAAAGCTCCCTAGTATTAAACAGGGCTGTATGTCCTCTTTGTCAGTTTTATTGTTAAACAAATATGTATATATTTATATAGTAACATAACAGATACCATACGTTTACTGTCCATGCACGTTAAAAGTAAGCGAGTACAAAACAAGTAAAACTCTATGTTTCTTATAGGGTCAAACAAAGGCATATTATTTAGAAAATAAAAGGCATCTAAACAATAGCATTTTTAGCAAAAATATCATACAATAATGATTTACCCTTTTCAAATGAATACAAAAGAAATTGCGTACACAGTTCAGACTATTCAAAAGTTTTTAAATGTAAGAAATTCGTTTGATGCGTTTTTGGTACAACTTTCGTCCAGTTGCTCTCGAACAACATTGTCACATTCTTCATAGTGATCGCTCTCATCGACATATTTATCATAATGATCTTCATCGTCCCTCGCATAGTCGTAGTGTTCATCGTCTAGATCAGTATCAGCACTGCAAATCAGCTTATTGTCCATGTTTGTATAGCGATCCTCTTCCTTTTCATCTGTAATTTGTTTTTCTTCCAAATTGCAGGTTAATTTTGTATCTTCACAAATTGCTTCATCTTTACCTGGCGTCATGTATGTGGTATTCTGGAAATTATATGTCTTTAAGAATACTGAACTGAAAAAAAAAGACAATTTTTCTGGATCAAATGCTTGTTAAGGATGTTTTCTCTGTGATGAGTGTTCTTGCGTGTGTTTGTGCTGTATTTCTGTGACGTAGTGTTGTCATTTTAGCGATATTTTTTAACATTGTCATATAAGCGGGAGGTTTGGCTAGCCATAAAACAAGGTTCAACCCACCATTTTTTCTTAAAATGTCCTGTACCAAGTCAGGAATATGGCAGTTGTTATCAAATAGTTCGTTTCTATGTATGTTGGCGTTTGTTTTTGTTGCACTTCAGTGTTCCTGTTGTTTCTTTGTTCTCCTCTTATAGTTGATGTGTTTCCCTCGGTTTTAGTTTGTAACCCGGATTTGTTTTCTCTCTATCGATTTATGACTTTTGAACACCGGTATACTACTGTTGCTTTTATTTCTTATATTATTATTGATTTTTTAAATGGGAAAAATGGGAAAACAATTTCATAGTTATTTTAGATCAACTTTCAAAGTAATAATTAAAGTAAAATTTCTGAAAAGAAAATTGCGATACTCGTAACACAATAGACCATCTCATCTTGCTTATAAGAATAAGTATATCATTCATTTTATACACTTTAGATATCTAAAATGAGAAAGAATGCTTATTATCCCATTCTAGTATTTATCTTTCTCGCGGCCACCATAAAGAATCGTAATTGCCCTTTGCGTAGTCCGTTCATGACAAAAATATGCATCCAACTTGTCATCATTGACATCTTTGTATTACATTGATATAATAACAGTTTTCATTATAAAATGATATCATAGGATTTATGAATTTTAAACAAATAACCTTAGATTATTTTGAACAGACTTAAATGATTAAGGGGAGTTGATGGTTTCGATTACTTTCTCATGTGATGCTATCTAAAAGATGTTTTACAAGGTGGATGTCTTGAACGTTTATCTTTTTTAAAAGCAACATTCATGATGAGAACAAGCTTATCCATGCAAATCTATTCCTTTCGAACCTCGATGTTATTCGAAACGACTGCGATTAAAAGTTAGACAGAGTGTTCTCCCAGACATTTTTAATTCCGCTATAAATCGATGAACCTTACCTCCTCCTCCTCTTCCTAACAATCACAAACACAATTACAACACCCAGTATCAGCAACAATACTCCTGGTATAATTCCAAAGTAAAGAGCTAAAAAAAACAAAAAAACATATTAAGCTTGTTGCACAACTATGAGTGACACACGTCACTGAAATGATATCCTATGTGTCTGTTTTATGTTCTCTCGTTACTTCTTCTTTTTAAGGATGAGAGTAAGTGTTGAACATTTGTATTTTATTATAACGTTATTATAGAGGTAGGTGATTTTCCTTTGATTTTATTGTGTGTTCTTTTATGTACCCTTTGTTAGTCCTCTAATCGAGATGTAAAAAAGTAGGGATAAAATCATACGTTTCCATTCTCAATTTTATCAAAACTAGCTTAATCTCGTCACGTTTTTCTTGTGCTTGTCCCACCCTGTCAGCGGTTGTCTTATGTTATTCTTTAAGGATTTTTATTTGGCAAACAAGGTAGTGATTTCCTGACTTTAATAGTCTCAAATTGAACTATTTGCAAGGGAATGACATATTGGTAAGAATATTTACAAGGGATTGACATATTGATAAGACTATTTACAAGGGATTGAAATATTGGTTAGACTATTTACAAGGGATTGTACATAATATTATTGGCAAGACACCTGTCTTATTGGTTCTTGTTGCTTCTTCCTAGTTTTTCATTCAATTTCAAAATGCACATAACTTTTATTATGTATTCATATTTATTTATATTTCTAACGGTAACTTACTACCTTTCTTAAACATCTCTGATGACAGTATCTTTGACACATCTGAAATATCTGAAAATATTAAAGTGGATTATCTAAAGCTTCCTTTTAATACCTTGCATATACATTAATCATAAAGTTGTTGTTACAAACTTTGCTGGGTACATACATTAGCTTAAATTCTTTTGTAGTAATATAACTGGGCGATTGTTGATCATTGTTCTTCCCTGGTTGCTAGTTTCAATGTAAAAAATAATTGTAATTGTTAACATATAAATGTAAAGAGATAGGAACTAGAATAGTGGTGTAATTGTTCATTTATTAATTATTTATTCGATCAAATTCTTATATCTGAAACACTGAATTTATTGTTTTCTTGACATTGTGGAATTTCCATTCCAAATGATTGTGGTCTATCAGAATACTGGTTGTCAGAAAATAATGAACTTAATAAATATTTCTTGTCCAACCTTGCGTAACTGTCTAATATTGAGAAAGTAGAGGTACAGTTCATAAAAAGTAGGGCATATTCTACCTATTGCTTTACACCGTTGTTTATTACAAGTTTCTTTTTGGCGATCTATATCATCTCCAGAACAATTCATTCCACCAAACATAGGTCCTGGATTTTCACAAGTTCTGTTTCTATATCGACTATAAAATCCTCCACCACATGTGACATTACATTTATCCCATGGTGACCACTCACTATAATCTGTCCAATTGCCATCCACTGAAAAAAGTAAATGTTATACATTTTGAATATTACAGTTAGATTGAATTTAAAATATTATGAAAGGGTTTGTTTTGTGTATTTTAAAATTATTTCTTTTTTTGACTTAAATAATAAATTGTTTTACTATATATTTAGCCATATAATGTTATCCAAATAGGAAATTTCGTGTATCCAGTTGCACAAATATTCGAAAATGGAGGTTTTTTCCACCTTGGTATCTTTAAAGTACATAAGCAAATGCCTATTTTATAAATTGCTCTATTTTCATTTTGTTCATTTCTTAGGGTGTCAATGATATTTTGCATTCATCATAGCTGAATTTTTATATGTTCGATGACGATATACGTTTTTCACGTAATGTTTTACGTTTTATGGTACGCTGATATGAATTTTTTTTATTGGTCATGTCTTTTTTAAGTTCTGAGTTGCAATATTAATCTTCTTTCTCTCTCTCTCTCCTTAAATTACTGTAAATTTGGATATTATTGTGTGCATTCACATTGCGATTTTTGAAGAAATGACAAAAATGCGAGATGAATTATTGCGAGTTCAGGAAAATCTGCATACAGAATGCGAGTTCTAGTTATTGCGATACCCAACCAGTCGCCTTTTTCGGATTAATAAAAACCTCTTAACAAATTCTGAACTTACAGTTAGTTTATTTGATATTCGCTACCGGTTATCATTTTTTATACTAACATGGACAATGCTGAATATTACAAACTCTTCCCTCTTCTTCTGTCGTTTTACCATCACATTCCAAACCACCAAACTTTGGCTTGGGATTTGAACAGGATCTTGATCTTGTTCTATATTTCAATCCCCCATCACATTCTTTTGAACAATTTCCCCATTGACTCCATAAAGTATATTGTGACCATCCACCGTTTACTGAAATAAATGTACATTGACTTGTTGAACTAGTGGCTATTCAGAATACGTACATGATTTGAAAATATCAATTTTTCACTTTTTACACAAGATACATAAGTTTATTTTTATGTATGATCAGGTACCACTAACTAATCTTTTTCTCTTATCGCTAATCGAGTCCACCAAATTTGCTTCAATATCTTGTAATTTAGTTTTAGAAATATTGTTGACAAAAAAACGTGAAGACGAAGTGGCAAAAGATACCAAAAGGAACAAAAAATATAAGTCAATGATTGAAAAAGACACAAAACCATAAAGGAAAAACAACGAAAATGCAAACGTCAGATTACACAGGAAACTAAAGACTTCGAAACGAAAACCAAACCGAAACCCCTGGGATCTTAGGTGCTCCCAAAGCTCTGGTCGTGTTGCTCACATCAATTGAAAATTCTGAGTTTAACCGAAATCGGAGATGTCACAACGAGGAGAAGAAGACGGGATTGCGACTATGAAAATTGGAACATTACTTTTTTTTAACGTCATTACGGTTTAAAAGCAGGGAATTCATCATAAGTACGAGGCTTAAGTTTTTGCTTCGCCAGACGCTTGTTTTGTCTACAAAAGACTCATCAGTGACGCTCGTACATTTACCTTTATAATACCGTACTAAATAAAGGCAAAAGTAGTTTACTAATGTTCAAATCTCGTAAATCGATTAGGAAGAGACAAATCAAGGAAGCAAACAAAAATCCTTATGTGAGAAGGGATAGTTAAGATTTTGCGAATCAAATTAACGTCATTACGGTTGACAGTATTTTTGTGATTTTACTTTTTACAAAGCAGGAAATTTTATCTCATAAATCAATATGCACATTTTAAAAAGTGTAGTGTTTTGCGGTTCCTCCCTCGTTACCCATTTTTCTTTTCAATGTTAATATGCGGGGTATTGTTAGTATAATCAACCGTGTTATTTACTTGGACAAAGTAAAGTATTGCAATCAGCGGTTATGTTTTCCACTGCCTTTCCACTGCATTGTTTCCCGTCATATTTTGGTAAAGGGTTTGTGCAGGTCCTATTCCTGATTTTGGACTTTTTACCACCACCACAAGTTACATTACATAACGACCATGCACTCCAATTTCCATAGGACGACCAGCCGCCGTCAACTGCATGAAAATAAAGGTAAAATTATTAAAGGTCTCCTTTCCCCGTATTTTATCAATTCAGAAGCTAATTAATGGTGGGCACTTTTCCTCTGTTTATATTTTATATGATGCTTATAGTCCAAATAAAAAACAGAACCTCTGATCTTTTGACCCGTATCAAAATGATAGATAAATGCTTAAGAATTCACTTCGTGCGTAGCGTTTATTCAATGATCAAATGCAAAACAACTTTTACCCCATTTATAAATTACATTTTGGATTTTACCTGACGGCTTATATATATCCTGATTGCTATTGTCAATCAATACCTATAATCATATAAAAAAAAATTTAAAACGGGACCTTCAAAAAGAAGTTAAGGAAGTATAGATTATACTTTCGACGTCGTAAAAAGTGTTGTATTTGAAAGATTACCGTAGCGGTATTTGGCAAAACCTTTCTGAATTTTGGTTTTCAATGCTCTTTCTATTCTGGACTTTTTGTCTTTTTTTATTCGAGCGTTACTGATGAATCTTTTGTAGACGAAAAAACACGTCTGATGTACAAAATTTTGATTCTGGTATCCATGATTAATTTATTATATCTTTCTTTATATTTATAATTGAACAGAAAACTCAATAAGTTTTAAATACTCAAATGAACAGGTAAGTTCGTGGAATAAAGTTGCTAATTAGAAAACATATTTCTTTTGTCAGTTATTAAGACGGTTTCTAGGTGTGCGTCGTTATATCAATTGATTAATGTTTTCTAGGTCTGATCGTTTCGTACAATGAAAGGTATCAAAAGTGTATATTCAGAAGGAAAGGGACGCCTTAAATATATATTATCACTGTTTTGGAACTTGTCAGGTTTTGTGTTACACCTATTCTTCTTTAACAAAAAGATCTTGCGATTGCACAAAATTCGAAATGTAGCACCTTTAAAATTGAATGGTTTGTCAAAAAAAGAGAAATTTACTTTTTTTATGATTTTCAATTTTTATTATAAAAAAAATCTAAAGTATTTACATTTTTTTTTCTTCAATTTCATGCCTTCTGTGAAATGTCAGGGAAAAATAGTGTTCAATAGGATTTTTAAAAATAATCTCGTACTTGTTTTCCTCATCGTGTTTGCATTGTGTATAACTGAAGAAATAAAAGAACTTGCAGAAATACAACGTTAGTTCGTAGATTGCAAAATTGTATTGCCTGTCTCATAAGGTGACAGTATTAGCGCTGTTAGAGTTACAAATTCTCAATGTGTATTTTCTGAACTACACGTTATTGAAATAAGAATTTATTGTAAAATGTTTGTTAATACTCAAAATAAGGTACATTTGCTTTTCTCGTGCAATCTTTTAACTAACTTCATTGTCTGCTCTTCAAAATATATGTTTCGTCAAAATCTTAGAAAGATGTCTTCTATTTAGGACAAAAATGGATACATTGTATCTTATTGTCCCTTTCTGAGTCAACGAAGTGGCTAGTACTATGTATATATCAGGTGCACACGATGACCAGTATTAGTCATACCATGAGCTTAATTCTTTATAGCAGTTTATCAAAGTTTAGTTGCTGCTGTGAAATTAACCTAATTTAATATCAAGGACATCAAAATAGTATATTCATTTCATATTTTTAAAGTATTTGAAATAAAATCTTTGAAAATGACATAAATATGATCGAATGGTACTTGTAAAACATGGTTTCAATTAAAATTGTGCAAAAATACTGAAGCTATCGTATATCTAGGATATTTGAAGGTTATTCTTGGAAAATAAGAAAAAAAAAATGACAATATTTGTCTTTTATGCATAAGGCAAATACTTTATTATGTAGTATGAAGGTTTAACAACTTTGACATTTTTCTGAATTTCTTAACATCATTAGATATAATGTAAATGTGAATTTTCGTGGCATTAAAAAAAAAATAACTGAACTGGTAATTCATTGCTAATATAATCAAATATTGATACTACTTGGACAATGCAATGTGTTGCAGTCGGATGTTGTACGTTCCGCTTTATTTCCAGTGCACTGCTTTCCACTATATTTTGGTTCAGGATTGGAACATGTTCTATTCCTAATTCTTATCTTTTCACCACCACCACACGTTAAACTACATGAGAACCAAGAACTCCAAATTCCAAATGATGACCACCCACCATCAACTTCAATGAAATAAGTATGTAGATGAAGGCGACAGTAGTTTACCGATGTTCAAATCCGTTAAAAACAATTTAGAAGAGACAAATCAACGTAACAAACAAAAACTGAGAGAATCAATTGAACCCCTGAAGGAGCGAGTACAGGTGCGTCGACAGGATGAGCGTATCCTGCGATTTAGAATTATTTTATGGAGAAACGCAAAAATGATCTATGTTTTACTGATTTTTCAATATTTGTTGTTTTTACCAAATTACTTTTTATCTTTAGGAAAAAAAGTACTTTTAAAATGGTTTTAACTGACTGACACATCAGTTTTTTTATACGTTAAATATTTTTTTTATTGATTTTGTCTTCTATATTTTAAGGAGGTTTTATTGTTTTCCTCATTTGTGCTGGTTACATACACAAACACCTTTACAGAAATTTTATACGTATTGATAAATATCAGATGAAGTTAAACTGGTATCTAACTGGCTGTGATTAGAGAAAGGTTTAATTTTGTAGAAAAAATAAATAGAACACCTTTTAAGAGTCAATCAACATTCGTTTTTTAAAGATGTTTTATTATTCTAAAATTTTATATTAAAAGGTGTTATTACTTGGACATTGGATAATATTGCAGTCAAAAGTAGTATTTTCTGCGGCATATCCACTGCACTGTATCCCGCCATAATGTGGTATAGGATTGGAACACGTCCTATTCCTACTTCTAGTCTTTTCACCAACACCACACGTTGAACTACATAACGACCAAGATGTCCAAATTCCAAATGATGACCACCCACCATTAACTTCAATATAATGAAATAAGTATTAAGATTAAGACGATAGTAGTTTTCCGATGTTAAATTTTGTCTTCTAGATTATTAACAGATTCTATAGTCTTCCTTATTTGTGCTGGTTAGATATAGAGATATTTAAGAAATATATAAATGTATACATGAATATCAGATGACGATAACATACTATTTATTTGGTCGTGATGAAATAAAGGTTTCATTTTGTGAAAAAAAAATAGAAAACCTTTTTAGAATCAATCAATATGCTTATTTTAAAGATATTTTATTCATGGGGTCTTAAATTTCTACTGATTTTATCACGGGTTGACCTTTGTGCAAAATATTTCTCTTCAGCGATAGCGAGGGGTAAAATATCGGCATAAAGGACCAACCCGTGGTAAAATCAAAATAAATTCAAACTCCCATGAATCATTTCTATTCTAATAGGACAAGGTTGGCAATTCTTGTGGATCGAAGCGTTATTGAAGGCAATTATTATATCTCGTAATTGAATACACTTATAATATTGGCGTAAAGAACGAAGAAAATTTAACAACTATTTACAATAACATATTTAGAGATGTTAGGTTGAAGTTTACGATTATGAAAATTCAAGAAAGTGGGCTATCAAAAGTGATGATTTTCTATAAATTGTTTGAAATTTCACAGTGATATCATACTTTAACTTTGTTTAAACCTGTTTATTTACTTTTGACTTTAATTATTTATCCCTTGTAATTTTTTATTAACTGTGTATTTGCATTTAGGTGTCACAGGTTAAATTTATTCGTTCATTGTGTGTTAATTTACGTTTTTTGATTGAGTTAAGCCTTCCAATTGATATTTTATAGTGTGTTTTTCTATGTTGTGATGTTATACTATTGTTTCAGAAAAGGGAGAAGGTTTGGTACCATTAAAACGTTTAATCCCGCTGCAAATGTTTGCACCTGTCCTAAGTCAGGAATCTGATTACAGTAGTTGTCGTCTGTTTATGTAGTTCATACGTGTTTCTCGTTTCTCGTTTTTATATAGATTAGACCGTTGGTTTTTCCGTTTGAATGGTTTTACACTAGTAATTTTTTGGGGCCCTTTATAGCTTGCTGTTCAGTGTGAGCCAAGGCTCCGTGTTGAAGGCCGTACCTTGATCTATAATGGTTTACTTTTAAAATTGTAACTTGGATGGAGAGTTGTCTCATTGGCACTCATACAACATCTTCCTATATCTATTTCAACAAAATTGTATCTTCGTTTCTTTATGTTTCCATGTTCTGAAAACTTTCACATTGGTGCATTTTCCCGTACAATGCTAATGTTCTTGCGTCATATTTAGAGTTGATCGTTCAATGACGTCAATTACACCGATTGACCTCGGGTTACTAATTTATAAAAATCATACGACGCAGGAGTGTGATTGGAAAAGCCCGATCAGCTGACATACATTATATGGGTGTTTACTGATAGCGTTTAAGGAACGTCTTATTTTATTTATTTATTTTTTTATTTATTTATTTATTTATTTATTTATTTCATTTATTTATTTAGTTATTACTTTTAATTTTATCACTATATCTTAATTTTATTAATAAAAATGTGTTATTACTTGGACATTGGATAATATTGCAGTCAGATGTAGTATTTTCCGCGGCATATTCACTGCACTGTTTCCAGCAATAATGTGGTACAGGATTTGCTTATTAGCTTTTCACCACCCCCACAACCTACACTACGTAACGACCAAAAACTCGAAATTACAAAGGGCTACCATTCACCATCAACTTTAATCAAATATATGTCTGTTTATGTAGTTCATACTTGTTTCTCGTTTCTCGTTTTTATATAGATTAGACCGTTGGTTTTCCCGTTTGAATGGTTCTACACTAGTAATTTTTGGGGCCCTTTATAGCTTGCTGTTCGGTGTGAGCCAATGCTCCGTGTTGAAGGCCGTACCTTGACCTATAATGGTTTACTTTTATAAATTGTTACTTGGATGGAGAGTTGTCTCATTGGCACTCATACCACATCTTCCTATATCTATATTAGTAAAATTACTAAATGAAGAAATATGTGAGTTTTGTTTAGTTGTCTTTTGATTTATGACATTTATCAAACAACACAATATTTATATACTTTTCTTAAATTTGGAAATTAATTCTTAAAGTGAATGTTGCAGCATTGAATTTTTTTAATTTATCAAATTTTATGCGTCGAAATTCATCTAATAGTAAAAGTTAGCCGATGTCATAGTTTTTCATATTCTATATTGGGTGATTATATTTCAGAAAATGTATCATACATTGTTTAATATCAGTCAAATTTTAGTTATCATCTATTAGAAATATCAGAGACAAGTGAAAATTCGTTAGGGGGAAATCAGATATCAAAATACTGTTTTAAATCAAATACATTTTTGTATTTTAAATATATTATTTTCATTTTAATTTTTGTATATATATAAAAAAAAGCAAAATGGACATGTTTAGTTCATTATGTTTTCTGGCGTACAACATTTTAATTCTGGTATCTGTGATTAGTTTATTTACTTTGTTATTAGTTGGACAATGGAATATATTGCAGTAAGATATTGTATTTCCACAGCGTTTCTCGTTTACAATGGTACTTGATTGAAATACGTCCAATTCATGATTAAATGTTTCTCACAACCACATGTTACACTAAATAAAGACCAATAACTCCAAGTACAATTGAATGACTTTCTGTCATTATTTTCAGAATTAATACCTTCCTGAATCTATTAATGATATAATAGGTGTTTATTTGTTATAACGTATCATGTTTACATTTTTCGCAGTTTAAGTTCAGATTAAAATGCTAAGGTATATTGAAACTTTAATATTTATTTTAAACCTGGTACATGGTAATAAGTTCTATAAACCTGACTGTATGCAGTGTGTGTAAAAGGGAACGAACTGTTGAATTGAAGTGAAGTTTTCTAGATAATTTCTGTTCAATATGTGAAAATAGAAACACTATTGTGGATATATACCCCCGAAAGGGGATGTCTAAACTAACTGTATTGAACATATAGATAAGTTATATACAGAATCCTTGTTATATCCGTTAGGTAAAAGAAAAAAATATAGTTTTGACTTTTGTCAGTGAAATATATGAAGTGGTTTCTTAGAAAACATTCCTTTCAATAACAATCAGGTACACAACCAACAATAAGGATTAGTTTGAACAGCATGTTATCAGACTGTACGAGTGCCCTATGTAGATTTTAATGCGTTTAAAATATCTACTTTGTCCAAAAAAGGGTACCATAGCCATGTTAGGACAAATTTGTCAATTTATGCATGTATATGGCAATATATTGACATCATACATTATGAATATATAATAAGGAGATGTGGTTTGAATGCCAATGATAAAACTTTCAACCAGAGTTCAAATGAATTGGATATAAGTAATTATAGGCCATTGATGGCCTTGAACAATGAGAAGAAACCCATACCGTATAGTCGGCTAAAGAAGGCACCGAAATGAAAAATATGGAAAGGATTCAAACGAAAAAACTAAGGTCCTACTTATAACAAAACAATTTACGAAAAACAATTAGGACAGACATGAACCAATGACATCCACTGAACAACAGGCTCCTGAACTCGGACAGGAACATAAAGAATATGGTTATTTTTTTTTTATATGAGTGGAATGTAAGATGTGCAAAGAATTCCTGTTATAAATATATATGTATTTTACTTGGGCAAGGTAATGTACTGCACTCAGAAGTATTATTTCCTGCTTCATTTCCAATGCAAAACTTCCCTCCATATTTTGGAATAGGATTGGAACACGTCCTTTCCCTGCTTCTTGTCTTTTTACCACCACCACACGTTGCACTACACAACGACCAAGAACTCCAAATTCCAAAGCGCGACCATCCGCCATCAACTTTAATAAAATATGTATGTAGAAATTGTTTTATGGAGAAATCCAAGAAAAGAGCTAAGTTTAACTAATCTTCTAATTCATAGCTATCATAACACAGATCGACGTTAATTCTTTTGTTAAACATTTGGAAAGTTAATAATTAAATTGATTGCTAGATCATTGATTTTGTTTTTTTGAATCATATTCAATTTGTTGAGTTTTATCTTGTAAAATTGTAGGAGAATCAAACATCTTCCAATTATGTATTTGTTGGGAACAGTTGAAGACTTAAGTTGAAAAAATGTCATACAAGTAGTTTAATATGCATGTTATAATATTAAATTCCCCAGAATACGACTCTCGCATTTACAAAGTTGTATTTTTGAAATTGAAATTTAGTGTAATTACTTTGACAATGATATGTATTGCAGTCAGAAGAAGTATTTTTCAGGGCACTTCCAGTGCACTGTCTTCCATCATAGTTTGGGACAGGATTGGAACATGTCCTACTCCTGCTTCTTGACTTTACACCACCGCCACAAGTTACGCTACATACAGACCAAGAACTCCAAATACCGTAGGATGACCACCCACCATCAACTTCAATGAATTATATTGATATGATTATTACATGTGCGAATAATACGGTCTGTGACTATTAGTCAGAACGACTATTTTTTTTACATTTTTCATAAGTATCTGGTTGTGCAAAAGTAGTACTTGTTTGTCTTCCAAACTGTGTAAGAAGGGAAATACATATCTTAATATACAGTGTAGTTCATAGATTGAAAAACACAATCGTCTGCACCGAAGGAGAGAATTGTAGAAACTTTGTTGAAAGTAGAAAACATGTATTTGTCCAGATTTTTGCATTACAAAATTATAGGGTTCTTGAGCTTTTCTTAACCCAAATTCTTTTATCTACCTTGCTTATCAATACAGCTCTTAAAGTATATTTGTTTTCAGAATTTAAGAAAGACTTCTAAGTTACAAGGACAAATCAATATATTATTATAGTTCTATCATGTTTTTGTCTTTTCTCTATAGCATAATCCACAAAATGATTATAAATCAGTAGAACATAATGATTGATCATTAAAGGCAACTTACTCTCTTATACTGATAATCAAGTATGTATCAAGTCTTGTGTAGACGAAACGAGCGTCTGGCGTAAATCAAATATAAAGTTGGAATCTTTAATAAGTTTTATAATCATAAATATCATTACTAATGCTTCTTAATTGATTATTATATATGAACTCAGCGCTTCAGATGCACGAAATTTTTGAAAGTTTTATCTTTATCAAATGAAGTACTCAACATGAACATTTCTCTTATTGTTTCTCGATATTTTGAAACTATGTTTAAAATGAAAATGAACTACATTGGTTAGTGTTTGTTTTATATCGTACCGTAATTTTTGATATTATTTATTATGAAAGATACAATTTAACATTTTATTTTACATTTTACATAAATGAGAAAAGTATTTTCCACTGAATAACCAAACAGTGAAATGTACAATGCATTTCTATTATAATAAAATATGACTTTACTTGGACAAGGTAACATGTTGCAATCAGAAGTAATATTTTCCACTTCATTTCCAGTGCACTGTTTGCCGTCATATTTTGGTAAAGGATTGGAACATGACCTATTCCTACTTCTTGACTTTCCTCCACCACCACAAGTTAAACTACATACAGACCAAGAACTCCAAATACCGTAGGATGACCACCCACCATCAACTTAAATGAATTATATTGATTCAATCATTACGTGTCAGAATTTACGAATAATACAGTAGGTGACTTTAAGTCAGAACGACTCTTTTTTTTATATTTTTATAGGTGCTGATTTTGCAAAAGTACGTGTTCTTCTTTCAATATGTGTTAAAAGGGGAAATAAGTATCTAAAAATACAGCGTAGGTTGATAGATTGCTAAACAGAAGTTGTTATACAGTTTAAGTTTCGTAAACGTGGTACTCAACATGGACATTTCTCTTACTGATTCTCGATATTTTGAAACTACATATGAAAGACTGATTATCTTTGAAAATGAACTATATATGTATTCTTTATTATTAGGGTTACAATTTCGCAATATTTTTACATTTAACAATTATGTGAAATTTAATTTTAACTGAATATGGCTTTACTTGGACAAGGCAACATGTTGCAGTCAGAAGTAATATTTTCCACTTCATTTCCGATACACTGTTTCCCGCCATATTTTGGTACAGGGTATGAACATGTCCTACTCCTGCTTCTTGACTTTTCACCGCCACCACAAGTTACACTACATACAGACCAAGAACTCCATATACCGTAGGATGACCACCCACCATCAACTTCAATGAATTATATATATAAAGATTGATTACATATTGGCAGCTTTTCATCACACAGGTCGTTATAAGAAGTCGGAACCTCAGGTGCTCTTTTTACAAAAAAATCATACGATTAAAATTGATCACTGAAATGTTCATGACTGACGAGTGTTTTTACTCAGAGGATTTTGTGTGAAAAGGAATCACTGTATCTTTCTAATTTCTATTAAAGTGCAATAGTATATCAAAATATTTTTGATGTTTTGAATCTTATAAAAAATAAATTCTTTTAAACCAACATCATTGCGTGCTCAAATTGAGATAATTCTACATGTTTAATGCATGTTTCTATATATAGATATATTAAGATTTTATGATTAAAAAAATCCAGAAGAATTAATCAAAACACGTATTTCAAAGATTTATTTTTCATTTTATCATTTTGCTTTTTCTTTCGGTATATTAAAAAGTAAAGTATGCATTCTGTTTTTCTTATTATCTACTATCTTATTACTTGTACAATGAAATGCGTTGCAGTCTTAATTCGCATTTTCTGTTGCCTCTGAAACAATACACGATTGAAGCGTACTACGTAAGCCCTTTTGATTTATGATCTTAGAAATTTTATATTTACTTTTAGCCAGAAATATATTTTGTCAAAGATAGACATGTGATCGAACAAAAAAAGACAACTACACGGTCAAATGATAAATATAAAAAGACAACCATACGACACACAGAAACTAAATATTGACCAACACAATACCCAGAACATAGAGGTGAACTTTGATGCTCCGGATGGGTAAAAGTTTCAAATTCACCAGTGACAACCTTCGTGTGACTTTTGTCTAGGTCCGTCGGAGAAAGATATCTGACGATAAGAAAATACACAGAACAAAAATGAAAACAACACGTTATAAATTTCATGCGTCCGAAGCGCTTTTCTGGATTGACCTTCATCAGGAACGCTCAAAGCTGAATATTTGAAAGCCAAGGATGTATAAGAACCGAATCAATTGAAGAGCTAGCACAACGGATAAGTAAGTGTTTAATCTAATCATAAGACGTTACCAAGTTTATAATCCACCAGAGCAGGTAATTTATCTAACCCTAAGACATGACTAAGTATAAAACTATGAAATGAAAACATTTCAGGACAAAGGACATTAAAAAATCCAAAGTACAATTGAAACTCTAAAACTACAACAACAACTTTTATCAAGTCAAATTCTTTATGTGCATGCATAAGTCAGGGGTCTGTAATTCTGTTGTTGTCCTTGGTTGCTGTCTGTCATATTTTTTTTTTTCGTTTATTGTTTTAGCAAAAATCATGTCGTTGGTTTTCTCAATTAAACTATTCTACTTTTTGTCATGTCAGGACCTTTATAGTTGACAATACAGTATGTGTTTTGCTCCTTGTTGAAGACCGTATTGTGACAAATAGTTGCTTACATCCACGTCATTGGAACTCTGGTAGATAGTTTCATTGGAAAACATACCTTGTCTCCTTATTCTTAAATTAGGTGCTTGGGTATGGTAAGCAGTTCCTAATCCACAAGCAGGACTAGTCATGTTGCTGGTGATAAGTAGTTTTTCTCAATATTTTAAATTAGCCGTTTAATTAAAAAATAAATGGTTAACTAGTTAATATGTAGAATTATATTCATCAATTAATATGCACATATAAACCAAATGATCATCAAACTAATTTCAAAGTATAATAGATAAAGTTTAAAGCAATAAGAATTTGAAATCGACAAAAAAATGAAGAAGTGTTTGAACAATATGGAATGCCCTAAGCTACAGGTAACTGCGACCATCTGTTACATTCGTAAAAATAAGACTAATGCGAATACCATGCATAAGACAGTATGATGTAGAAAAAATAAACTGCATTTTGCACAAATATTATGCTAACAGAACGAACAACTAAAAGGCAGTCGTAGTTTCCACCTGTTTCAAAAACTGATAAATTCATTTGATGTACACGCATCAAGGGAAAAATTTCTAAAGATCGGAGATTATTCCGTTTTTATGCGCCATGAAAAAAATTAGGGAGCAAAAAGTCGTCGCTATGTCCGTTCCTCCATATGTGTGCCCGAAACAAATGTTTCTCGCTTGGTAGATAGAGTTTTCTTTGTTTGATTTAAATGTAACTTACATAGATGGAAGCCATAGGATAGTCCATATTATTTACAATTTTCAAAGTTTGGAAAAAACTGGCTTTCTTTTAATGCTACTTATCATTTTTTCATTTTTTATATGTATTATTGGCCATGTGCATTATCCTCTGGCTGGTCAGCCAGGGTCAGCGGAACCCCTGTGCAATTTATTTAAAATATATGCATAAAAAGGGAAAAATAAATATCGGGCTTCGGAGAAAGTATTCGTAACAATTTTAGTTTCGAGATGTCTAGCTTTTAATATTCTAGGAGCATAAAGTCCTTGCCAAGTCACGTCTTTCGGTGATAAGTCGAGTATACCATTATGGATAGTTATACACGTAATCAGGTAAAAAAAATTAACAATTGGAGTATATGTTTTAGTTGATCCCTGCAGCCATACAAGTATTTTTAACTAATTAAACACAAGGCAGACCATATACGTATGGCATTTTTTAAATTTTCTCTCATTAGATATACAGTTCGGGAAGCATCTGTTGGCAGTGGCAAATTCCAAAAAAAATTTGAAAGGGGAAACATATTTCTTACGAAAATGTATAGAAAGTGCTTTTGGTATTCATTTTTATATAATTTCGATTCAATTTTGTATATTAAAATAGGATATACACTGTAATGTAAAAAAAACTTCCAATATCTGGAGAGAAAAAAATCTGAACTCCAGCGGGTTCACAACTTCAATACGTATACATTCTGACCATAAAGTTTCCATGATTTTTGTTGAAACTGTAGAAAACACTTTTATTATCAAACCAATTTTTTGAAAATTTTGCTTATGAATTGCTATGATCAAACTGAAAAGGATCCATGTTGAAGTCAAACCCTGATATAAAATTAAAGCTGTAATGTTGACAAACAAATTAAACAAAATTAAAACCCGAATAATATACCCCCAGGTAGAGATTGGCTTATCCGTATTTTGCACAACTTTTCGGTTTTTATGGCTCTACAAATTCGTATTTAATTTGGCATACCAACAGTTTTCAATCGGGCGCCACTTATGACTTTTATGTGGACATTTTATAAGTCGTCTGGTATCTTTGATGAGTTTATACACATCTTAATCATATGTACAAATTGTTTGGTTGGTTTATAAAAAGAGTATGTTTTGAAAACTGATAATGTATGAAATATAAGATAAATAATATAAAGGGTATTTATTAAATTACTTGGACATGGCATGGAATTGCACAGGACTACAGACGTATCGGTTGTACTTCCTACACACGGTTGTCCACCATATTTTGGTTCTGGGTTTGTGCATGTCCTGTTTTGATTTCTGGACTTTGTTCCACCACCGCATGTCAAATTACATGATGACCAAGGACTCCAACTTCCGAAGGAAGACCAACCTCCATCAACTGCAATAAAATAAACCTAACCTTGTATTGGGATCTAATTTTTTTGTGTAATGCTTGAAAATATAATAATATCTGGATAACAATTTTTGATATTCTTATGTTTTGGAATTATATGATGATTGTATATCTTAAATAATTAATTTTCAAATTAAGTCACTTCTTTCTAAACTTGGACTGATTTTGAACTTGACATATTGTATTGAATTATGTCTATTGTTGAAGATCAAATGTTTATCTCTTCATGTTTTTGGTTTTTCTGATGGATGGATACTGCCTTATTTGTGTATATCCCTTCACCTCCTTTTTTTCAAACATACATTCAAGGCGAAATAAGACAATGAACAATTGGCAATGGTTGACCTTTTTGCCCGAAATAAGCGGACAACTTGGTGTTGATGGCAGAGATTTGATGGTCTCTGTTCCATTAAATTCACAGAAAGTCTCTTTCAAATTTAGGGTCTGGTGGTTTAGAGTGTAATATTTTGAATAGACTCATCATAGATACCAGAATTGAAATCTTGTATTTGCGCCAGACGCGCGTTTCGTCCACAAAAGACTCATCGGTGACGCTCCAATAAAAAAAAGTTAAAATGGCCAAATAAAGTACGAAGTTGAAGAGCATTGAGGACCAAAAATTCCTAAAATTTTGCCAAATACAGCTAAGGTAATTAGACACTTTTGTATTATTGAAGTCATGATGTTGACCTTTATATGTCTTTTGATCTTTGTGGTCATAAGGTGTTGTTTCAGTTAAGAATTCCATCAATCTACATTAAGCATATCATCAGAATATCTGGTTGGTTTTATTTTGTAGTTTGGCTATTGTCCATTTAATTCTGCATCACATTCCATGTTGTAATGAAAACTTATTAATAGCGTTACTATCAATGAAATTCAACAAATCGGCTAAATGATTTAATTACTTGGACATGGTATGGAACTACAAGAATCTGCAGTCGTTTCTGTTCTAATACCGACGCACTGATTCCCGCCATATTTTGGAACCGGATTTGAACATGTCCTCTCTCTACTTCTAGTCTTCTTTCCACCACCGCATGTGACATTGCAGGATGACCAAGGGTTCCAACTTTCATAAGAAGACCATTCTCCGTTGACTGAAATACAAATTTCTTTTTTTTAAGTATCTGTATTTCATCATATTGCCATAGCTGCAAATCTCATTTTAAAACTTGTATCTTGGGATTGTCAAAATTCTACTTTTTTCTACTAATCTGGATTGTTATTTTGACTTTGAATTTGAGAGAGAATTAATACATGTTAATAATAATCATTCAATTGTATTTAAAAGTTATTTTTATTTATCTAGTTAGTTTCCAAACTCAAAGTTGGTGTACAGATTTATTAAACAAGTATGCTTTTGGAAATTTTGTCATGAAGCTTGAGGAAACTGCACATTTAATTAAAGTCAATACAATACAGTTCAAATATTTAAGGTAAAATATTTTACCAAGTATCATTCAATATACTATAGAACAATTTAGACCTTGAAATTAAAGATTAAACTATTAAAAAATTAAGTATCATTCAGTGTATTTAAAATTTCAGAAAATTCTTACCAAAATCAAGGGTAGATAATTATATTGAATTTGATAGAACAATTTGTGTGTGTTTTTTTATTATTATTGTTCAAGTAATTAAGCACTATTATTTTTTCATATTCAGAAGTATTTATGAAAAGCAATGTTCTCATTGACTTTTAACCAATTCTATCGTTTAATGTTTGATAAATAATGAAAAATATAACTTTCCCCTATAAAACCAACATATAATAATTTTCGTTAGATTGCGTTAATTTATGTCCTTTTTTGTCATATAGCTCTTCTCAACTGTTTCGGTTTTTACACATCCTCGGTTTTCAGTAATCGGTTTTGAGCGTTCCCGATGAAGGTAAATCCAGAAAAGCGCTTCGGACGCATTAGATTTATAACATGTTGTTTTTTTTATTTTTTTTACTTTTTTTTTCAATTTATTTTAACAAAAAAAAAAAAGGCCCTTGACTCCCAGTTTTTATATTTGTATTTGAAAGTAAATTGACAGAAGTTTTTTACAGAAGCCTAAGAACAATCTATCGTCGAACATTTAGACACCCCAGATGTCTTTTATGACCAATGTTACATTTGTCGTATTCATATGCTAGTGAAACAAATGTCCTTGATACCCTTATAATTTGTTCCTTGTGTAATGCTCACTACATCAGGCTAACTCACCTGGACACGGTGATATGTTACAAGGAAGTGAAGCAGTTTCAGATGAACTACCAACACATTGACTCCCACCATATTTTGGTTCCGGGTTAGAACATGTCCTATTTCTACCTCTAGAATGTGCACCTCCACCACATGGGACTGTACACGATGTCCAAGGACTCCAATTTCCATAAGAAGACCATCCGCCGTTCACTGTAATTGTTTTTAATTTTCTTTTAAAGGAATATACTAAGAACATTTACGGGCAGATATTTTTGTCAAGATTCTTTCATTTTGAACATCTTTTTCCTAACTATAATGCAAAATCTAATGCTTATGTTAAATCCTAGAGTGAAGCACGGAACAGATATAAAACACTATACACCATTAAATAAATGTTTTGCACTGTACCATAAATGTTTTATATTTCAACTTAAAGAATGACATTACGTTTTCGTCTTCTAAGATGATTCAGACTCGAAAAAGGTCGACTGACTTGTAAATTTACCGATTATGTCTTATATTTGTTTTTAAATATTTATTTGTTGCAAGTTGCAATTGTAAGGCGAATGATCCGGGCATAAAATGAGACGCTTACCCTGTTTACAAATAAAATCCCTCTCCAGTTTATGAGAATTCTTTTGTTCTCCTCGTTTGTTTATGGATTTACGAGTTTTTATTATTTAGTAAATAAACTCATCATAGATACCAGGATTGAAATTTTATACGCCAGACGCGCGTTTCATATAAAAATGACTCATCGGTGGGGCTCGAATTAAAAAATAGAAAAAGGCCAACTATAGTACGAAATTAAAGAACATTGAGAACCAAAACTTCCGAACGATTTGCTAAATACAGCTGTGGTAATCCATTCCTAGGGTAAAAAATCGACCTAGTGGTTGAAACTACTGTTGTAACTTTTCCTTCGATCTTTTACATTAAATAACTTAAACTATTTTCCGTTTTTTTTTACCAACCTGGACATGGATTAGTGTTGCATTGTCTATTTTCTACTTCCGTAGTAAGTCCAGGACATTGTTGTCCACCGTGTAGTGGTTTTAGATTTGTACAAGATCTTGTCTTAGTCCTTCCTTGACCACCATTTCCACAATTTTTTGTACATTTTGACCATCTACTCCAACTTGTCCAATAACTCCAATTACCGTCAACTGATTGTTGAAACAAAAGTCATCAAGTTTTTTAGAGCTTGTCATATTGTAAGAACACTTATTATTGGACATTTCTATTGCGAACATTTGCATAAAAACACAATACTATATGCCTATTAGTGTTTTCTACTGTTTTTAAGGGGACCCCGAAAAATGATCATATTCAATAATTATACCAAATAAAGAATTGCAACAATGAATTTCAACAAGAATTTGGAAGATGATGGATTGACCCATACCCTTTCATTTGTGTAAAACTAAAGAGAAAATTAAAACGAGAAGAAAATTATGAAGTTACCAAAGCCTACCCTCTGAAGACGAGTTTGCTATATGTTATAGTTGACACTATAAAAGTAAAGGAGATGTCATACTATTTGAAAAAGAGAGGCGAAAGATACCAGAGGGACATTCGAACTCATAAGTCGAAAATGATAGTTTCTGAAAATTTTAAAGAAACTTATTTCGTATGGTATATTTTAACTTTTATGTATCATTTGATTCAACGAAAATAATGCATAAATAAATAAAACCTGGACATGGATTTGTGTTGCATTGTCTATTTTCTATTCCAGTGGTAAGTCCAGGACATTGTTTTCCCCATTTAATGGCTTTGGATTGGTACAAGATCTTGTCTAACTCATAACTTGATCAACAGTTCCACAACTTTTTCGTACATAGTGACCAACTGCTCCAACCTTTGAGTGTTTTTTTTTTTTTTTCATGTCTCATTTAATTATACCCCACCCCTTCTGTCATTTATAGTATTTATATTTAGAAGCGTTTATTATTTTTAATAGCAGACAACTATGTCAAAATAGGAGAGATGCGATTACAAGTGATTTAAATATCTACAGAAAAGTAATGGTCACTGCAAGTTTTAGAAATAAAGCGTTTCGTATGGTTTATCTTTAAATTTGACTTACCATTTAAGCACCTGAGACTTGTTCCGAAATACCTGAGATCTTCCCAGTTTTTGGTGGGGTTCGTGTTGCTCAGTCTTTAGTTTTCTATGTTGTGTTTTGTGTATTGTTGGTCTTTTTCGTTTTTTAGCCATGACGTTTTCAGTTTATTTTCTACTTAGTTTGAATGTTCCTTTGGTATCTTTTGCCTCTCCTTGACGCAACGATACAAATACATTTTGACTTTTATTTCCCAATGAATACTCTTTTTTTAATATTCATTACCTATTTTCATCGAAAATATAGATACAAAGCAGACGTAAAATATCTAGGGGACATTAAAAGCCAATAAGTAGAAGATAAACTGACAACGTTATAACAAAAACAAAAGACGACGAAAAACTACATAAAATTAAAAGCAACAACAACTATCATTAAACACTTGAGGTCTTTGGAGGTGCTAGGGAAGATTAAGCAAATCCGTCTACACTAGCAGTACTTGTCATTTTGTTCATCGCAAATACAAGATATGGAATCAAGCTAATTATAAATTTGCACCAACCTGGACATGGATTTGTGTTGCACTGTCTATTTTCTACTGCCGTGGTAAGTCCAGGACATTGATTTCCACTATATAGTGGCGTTGGATTGGTACAAGATCTTGTCCTTGTCCTAACCTGATTGCCAGTTCCACAATTCTTCGTACATGTTGGCCAACTGCTCCAACTTGTCCAAGAACTCCATTTACCGTCAACTAAGTATTGAATCAAGAGTTAATCCTTTTTTTGTCATTTAGAGATTGACATATTGTATCGACACCTATTTACTGTTGAAGACTACATGTTTACTTCTGTATGTATGTTTGCTTTTTTTGTTTGTGTCTTGGGGTTGCTGTCTAATTGAATTATATCTACACCTTCTTTCATTAATAGTATTCATATTAAGATGTGTTCGATATGTCTGATAACAGACAATATATCAGAATAGTATGGATCAAAGCAAGTTTTAAGAATAAAGCATTTATTATAGTTTGTCTGTATTCGATTTGAGGTATAAATTGATGCAACGATGCAAATAGTTTAATTTTTAAAATTTTCAATTTTCTGTAACAAATCTTTGATCGAAATTTCACATTCAATTGATACAAATAAGGAACGAAACTAAATGTCTTTTGGCCCGACCTGGACATGGATTGGTGTTGCACTGTCTACGTTCTATTCCAGCGGTAAGTCCAGGACATTGTGTTCCACCATTAAGTGGCCTTGGATTGGTACAAGATCTTGTCCTTGTCCTAACCTGATTGCCAGTTCCACAATTCTTCGTACATTTTGACCAACCTCTCCAACTTGTCCAAGAGCTCCATTTACCGTCAACTTAGTATTGAATAACAGAAGTTATCAATGATTGGAAATTAAATATAAAACTCATACAATCTGAGGTATATATTCAACAGATTTTCATATTAAAAGACGTGTGCAATATTTTATACCGTTTAATTTAGAAATAAAAAATGTTAAGTATTTAAGTGATACAATTACATAGGAACGGTAACATAATGCGGGAAGTTAAGTGGAGTGATTTTTGTCATGCTATGGTGAAGTTATTCACGACTTTGACAAGTGTTTTCCTCAACCAATTGCCTCAAGTCTTTAAATAAAAATGATAAAAAGAAAATAAGATTTTTGAATAAATATATTACGTCAAACAGTCTAACTTCTTACATTATCTTAAAGAAGGTCATTTAGAAAACAATCGTAATGTTTACATTTGTCATTGTTTTTTTTTAAATCAAAATCCCTCAACTAAGTTATGAACCAATGCACCAAGTCATGACAAAATATATAACTACACTCTTCTAATGCAATATTTATTAATCATTTTTTACTATGCAACTCGATTATTGATTACGCGGTCCCTATAACAAAACAAAAGTTGAATTTAAGCTTGAAAATTGTCATTAATTTATGTTTTTGAGTTACCAAGAGTAAAGTGCTGTGGTAAAACAAGTGGTAAGATACGTTATTATTCATTTGCATTGGTACCAGTGTAACAATTATCATCATATATATCCTTTTATAGTCATGCATAAACGAGCACACACAGTTAATGTTTTGCGTCTACAACAATTCTTACCTGATGGACATTTTCGCGTGCATATTTTATATGACTGGTAATAAACTCTCCTGTAAAACAAACGAGTAATGATGTTACTGAAATACTTATTAGATACGGATATGTGGTATGATTGGCAATGAGACAACTACCCTACAATCCAAATGACAAAGATTGAATACTTGCCCATTTTGGTTCATTTTTTACAAAATTATTCGTTAAGAAGGTCAAAAGAAGTTCTTTGATGATCGACCAGTGGCTTTCAAATTGTCATGTTGGTTATTGTTCTGAATCGGGGAAATGGTGAACAAACTTTAAAAAAACCATCAGTATTTAATACTATTAATGAGTTTGCTCACTAAAAATACCCCCGCTGTCAGTTTTGGATGAGCAGGAAGTTGGTGAACGATGAATGTGAAAAGTCTTCACACAGTAAAGCATGCCCCAACAAAGCTTGATACCAAGTTTCAGGAAGCCCTGATTCATAGTTCCTCGGGAAAATGTGACGAAAATTTCTTTCATAGATATAAGAAAATGTGGTATGAGTGCCAATGAGACAACTCTCCATCCAAGTCACAATTTGTAAAAGTAAACCATTATAAGTCAAAGTACGGCCTTCAACACGGAGCCTTGGTCACACCGAACAGCAAGCTATAAAGGGTCCCAAAAATGACTAGTGTAAAACCATTTAAACAGGAAAACCAACGGTCTAATCTATATAAAAAACGAGAAACGGGAAACACTTATGAACCACATCAACAAACGACAACCACTGAACATCAGGTTCCTGACTTAGGACAGATGCAAACAAATGCAGCGGGTTTAAACGTTTTAATGGGCGCCAACCTTCACCCTACCTGAAACAATACTATTATGCGTAAGAATATATTACTTAGTATAAGTATTCGGCAAACAGGAAGTAAATAGGCAATACTGCCTTCTCACTGTTTATTTTTGATCATATATTGTTTTTGACGGTTTAGGAACAAAAATACATTTTATTATTCTTATTTTAGAATGTAAATATTATAATTTTGTGTCCATTTTAATCTAATTTTTACCTTGATCTTCGACATCTCTTCCATCCGAATGCTCCACATTTAGTTCTGTAATAATCCAATCGAGAAGACCTCTGTGAACATGGGTAATTTTGAGTTCCTATACATACACTGTGAATATAAAACATCTTTAAAACGCAATTATTTGAATACACAAACGCTATGTCTTAACACCGAACAAATACAACACACAGACCTTGAATTATATCAAACGGCTTTAAATGTGCAAAAAAACACGGACATGTAGATGGCAGCAGGGAACAATAAAATTTGCAAGGCAAGAACATTGTTATCCCTTATCAAAGAAAATTATGTGATAGCCAAATTAAAGGTTCATGGTAACCAATCAAATTTCATGATTAGCTCATAGGTACTTGGAGACAGGACAATTTTTTGGCCCTCCCCCTTTTTTTCCAAAATCCGTTATTTTTTGGTTTTCTATTACTTTCAATAAGTTTTGAGTTTTTCTGTATTATATGAACATAAATATACTAGAAATAACTTGTACTTTCTATTTACTATTAATTCCAAGTTTATTATTCACAGTGGTCAATGAACTCTCGTACTTTATTGTGCTGTACAATAACATTCGGATATTTGTTTCTGGGAACAGGATTTGGCGCGGAATCAGAGTTGTCGCCCATATAATACTTCCGTCTTTTAAGAATCGAAATACGATGACACGACGAGTAAAATTGATCCGTTCTGTAAACGTACATTAAATATTTTATGAATTAGACTTGGGATTGCTCCTAGAATTCACGTAGGAAAAAAGGTGATAAGATACAAAATGAGATACCTCCTCTCTATATAATATATCAGTGACCGCTGTGGATAGTAAACTTGGAATTGATAGTAAATAGCAAATACAAGTTATTTCTATTATGTTTATGTGTATATCATACAGAAAAACCGAAAATAATAGAAATTAATAGATAACAAAAAATGACGAATTTTTTTAAAAGAGGGCGTCAAATTGCAGAATGTACCACAAAAAGGCAAAAACTATTTGAACTTTCAAAAGAAAGTTTTGTTGATATCTAATTTTGAGAAATACATTTTTGGCTTTGGCATTGTACTTTCATTTCGAATTGATTACCATCCTTGACCGTTGCTTGTCCCTCTTATTCAGACACTTAAAGTAATTGATTTGACTAATTTCGGATAGTACGTCTTATCTAAGTGATAAGTACTTTAAGTGGATTGTTTTTCTCCATTTGTAACTTTGTAAATTAAAAGGTGACAATGTTTTTGTATGAATAATGATATATGTAAGATAATTCTCATTATTATTTTATTTTCTTCAAAAATGAAGATTCTAAAAATATAAATTATAGATTCCAACAAAAAGTATAAAGAGTGTGTTTCTGAATACATCAAAATCTAAAAAAGCAATGTCGATGTCACAAAATATAACTATTTTTAGAGTGAAAAATGTCTAAAAATTATAAGCCGTATTCTATTGGCAATATCTCATTCCTCCTTCTTCTACAAATGTATTAATGCATGTTTCAGTTGCTTTGTTTAGAATAGAAAACGGTATAGATCATAGTTAACAGTTAATGGAAAAGTTGTTTTCTCTTATTTGTCTAATTCTATGTAATTGTTAACCACGTAAGCATTTGAAATTTTGCAACAGATTCTTTTATAAGTTTTTAATTTTCCAATTTTAAAGATGATTATGCATACTTGTCAGATCCCAGAAAAGGAGAGTCGACTTTTGTCCGCAAAGCAGAATAAGAAAGCTGCAGAAAGAAAATATGACTCTTCATAGTTTTCCCCTAAATTCTTTAAATGTTCACATCTTCGCCAAGAACGTTAACTACAAATATTTTTAAAACATTATTGACAAAGTACATATACTAGTATACATGTAGTTGACAATGACGATTTTTAAATTATGTCATTAGAAGTAATCTACTTCGAGGTAAATCTGTTTATGGAAATTATTTTCATGTGAACAAAAATAAACGACTCCACAGTTCATCATTCCATTTTGAATAAATGTTTGTTCAATTCTGAAATGAATGTCAATGTCAATTTGTTGTTTTAACTACGCACTAAAATTTAAAAAAAACAACAACGAAATAGATACTACATCCATTTACGTATTACAATACTTGGTATCACTTACATGAATGACACCGTCTGTACTGTGTTCTGAACAAGGAGTGATGAGTTTAGACCACGTGTTAGCTTGGAAAATGGTAGTTATGTTAATTTTAAAAAAATTATTGGATACATTTTCCCATATATCCTATATTTATACAAGATTTTATCCAGAAATCATGACTGAATTGCTAAGTGATTAGTTATCATGTGCCAAATATGGTGTAGAAAATATTGTTTACTCTTCAGAACATGCAAGTAATAACATTTCGGGAGTTTCTAGGAAATGAAGATAAATGCAGTGTATACGCTTTTAAGACACCACCCATACCATAAGAAATAAAGTAAATCTAAAGATCAATATTATGGTCTCAAACGATATACTCGTCTTCAAACTCAAACAATATACACGTGTTCAATCTCAAACGATATACACGTCTTCAATCTCAAATGATATACACGTGTTCAATCTCAAACGATATACACGTCTTCAATCTTTTTTTCTTTTTAGTCATATCCTGTGATCTTGCCAATGTTGACTAAAATTGAGAATGGAAATGGGGAATGTGTCAAAGAGACAGCAATCCGATCAAAGAGCAGAAAACAGCCCAAGGCCACCAATGGGTCTTCAGCACAGCGAGAAAATCCCGCACCGGAAGCGGGCTTCAGCTGGCCCCTAAACAAAAATGTGTACTAGTTCAGTGAAAATGGACATCACACTAAACTCCGAAACATATCAATGAACTATAATTAAAAAAACATACAAGACCAGAGGCCAGAGGCTCCTGACTTGGGACAGGTGCAAAAATGCGGCGGAGATAAACATTGTTTGTGATATCTCAACCCTCCCCTATACCTCTAGCCAATGTAGAATAAACAAACACACAGCAATACGCACTGAAGGTTTTATTAAGATTTTGTATAAAAAGACAATGAAAATAAATTATTAGCTAAACTTGTATGGATATTTAATCTTTGGCGTAAATCCCTTTCTTTTTCTTTAGGAGCTGAATACTTATCATTATTTTAATCATAGTATTTTTTTTCAATTCAACATACATATTTAAGTGTTATTTAGAAAATTACAAACACAAGTAGAAGTTATTATTCTGTGAATTTTTAGTAACGTTTCATAGATTTTTTGGAAATGACTAAGATTTTAAAATGAAGAGGAAATTTTGCCTACCTCTTTCTACTTATAAACATATGACAGAGAGAAAAAAATCAGAGTAAAGTCCATTTTCTAAGTAGTATGTAGCACTGTAAAGACCCAATCAGAGTTTGTATAAAACCAACAGAAAATCAAAAAAATATATATTAACAACTTAACACACCAAAACTAGGGCATTGTAATGAAGCCATAGTCATAGTCTAAATGAAGCGGATTTAGGCAACTGGTATTATATTTAAGTAATCTTTTTAAAGTAATAGACAACTTTCGCGTTCGTTGCATTTCCGTCAAAAACTTTGGTTTTAGTGAACATCATTCGTGCGTTTAGGGGCGTCGGCACTTCCGTTCCTCTGTTGAGCGATTGGTTGAAAAAAATGATAATGCTATATTGCACGAATTATTCGGCAAATTAAGTTTTTATAATTGATATTCAGCACTGCTGTCATTAGGGAATTGAGATTAAGTACCTACGGAACAAATATTATTTCTAGTTTATCCTGCATAATGACGACCACAAAGACGCTTGATGAACTTTAATAGAGCAGGGATACAAGAGATCCCCTCTATCTGGTAAATGACGTCACAAAGGCGCACAAAATTGACGAACTTTTCTGGTGAAGGACATAACTCGAAAGTGGTCTATTCAACAATAACGAAAAACCGGATGCGTTTTGTGAGAAAAGGTACTAATCAAACAAACAAAGATCATATGCAACACAACACAATCGTGTGTCTACATTACCTTTAGTTTTATTTTGCTAGAAATTCATATTCTCCTTATAATGTTATAATTGATAACTTCTACAACGGTAATTTAATGGGTTTTTTTTTGGGGGGGGGGGGGGGTCTTTTTACCAGTTTTGCAATTACGACACGAAAAATTTAAAAGGACAGTTATCTTAGAGGAGTTTATTAATATAGGTGGAACTCACAAAATTGTTCAGTTTTTTTACAACTGTTTTTGATTTTTTTTTCGTTCAACGAATCATATGAAACTGCCTGATATTACTATGCGATTTTACCATGACGTCATGAATGTGTCATATTGGATGAAAATACATTTCACATTGCAAAGTTTTTGTTCAATAGCATATGACCACACTTCACCAGAACATGTATTTTATTCACATTAATATCTTTATCCACTTCCACATGTGATAGAATAATATTTTTGGCAAGCCTGTTGCACATATTTTAACAGTTTTGAATACCAAAACGAGCAATTGTTGGCATTTTTCTTTCAATGCAGAGCCTCAACCAAATTTGTGAGACAAATTCAATCATTATATGAAAGACATTTTCACGATGTTTTTATGAATTTTAGTAATAGACATATCAATTTTAAGAAAAATCTATTGATTGGTTTTTGAGATTTATTAAAAGCCAATTTTAAGAACGTTTTCACCGATTTGTCGGGCATTTTATGTACATTTACATGTATTTTGAAGGAATTTATTCAATAACTTGATAAAAAAATTTAATCATGGTCTTAGCATAAAAAATTTATTTTAAGAAATGAATGCTTCTTTAAGTAATTTGATAGGGCTGTAAAAGTGATGATCGTGTACACATTTTTAGAATGAAGCGCGGAAGCGCTTCATACAAAATGTGCTTCAGTCAACACTTTTACAACCCAATAAAATTACAAAAAGAAGCATTGATTTCTTAAATATTTCAGCAAGTAAAAGAGAAAAATACATCACGTTTTCGATTTTTCGATTAAGGTTTAACATATTGTAGTTGTACGCTAAACAATTTACAAAAAGAAGTGCGACAGGACCCATTTACTGTAGCTTAACCTTAAGTCAATGTGTTAGCCATTAAAACAGATAGTGGAACATAGCAATACTAAAACTTACGAATACGGAAATTAATTTAGTAACTTACCTATTTACAACGGTAACGGTCGGTAAAGTAATAAAAAACAGAATGTCTAATCTCATTTCAACTTTGTTATTTCACAGGCACAAATTACAAGTTATTGTTTAGAAATAAATGGAACATGTACCATGTTATACTCTTCAAACAAGTTTGAAAAATAATGCGATTTGATAATTTTATAAAATACTTGAAGCAGTTTAATAGACTATCCATCCGGAGACACTTGACGGAGCCTCATCCCTTTGTACATCATATTGCAGGAAATAGTTCATTCATAAGTTGACAATAAATAATACTTAAAGTATCAAGACGGTTCATAAAGCAATATTTATACTAGAGATAGTAGAGATAGAAGAATAATCTGCAATGAGAGAAAAAACTTAATCAGCTTTAAGTCTTTCGGAAGTACCTAAGTTCAACCATGGTTTTTGGTGGATTCATATTGTCCAATCTTCAGATGTCTGTGAGACTGTCCCAGTTCAAGATCCTGTAATTTAGTGGTTGTCGTTTGTTTATGTATGATATGTTTGTTTTTCGTTTATTGTTTTGTACATAAATCAGGCCGGTAATTTTCTCATTTGAATTGTTTTTTGTTTGTTATTTCGGGGCCTTTACTAGCTTATTATACGTAATAGGTTTTGCTTATTGTTGAAGGCCGTACGTTAACCTATAGATGTTACCTTTTACGTCATTTGGTCTCCACCTCTTCATATTTTTATATCAGAAATTGTTTGATTCAAATGATACATTCTAATTGTAAATCTTCATCTTATATATGTGATAATTGCAATCAAAAGAGGATCACAAACCGCTAAATTAAAATGTTAAATTGGCCCCGATATTGATTGTTCTAATCTTCGAAAATTCTTATATGATTTGCATATTTACAAATACTTGAATGTGATTGATCCGTTAGAATTGGTCCGTCTTTACATTGGGCTAAACTATTGAATACAAAAATGTAAAATATTATAATTATGAATCGAGTCAGAAACCTATTTATTTGCCCAAAAATCAAAATATGACTAACTTATTAAAAACACTTTAAAATTACATGTAGCCTATTAACCCCAATTTAGACTTAAATCAATTATTATACACATCATTCAGTTAAAAACGCCTTCACGAATCGAGTGGATGCACGCAGAAAATGGGCATTTATAAATTTCTGGCAGAAGGACAATGTACAGAAACAATTTCTAATAGTATTGCAGGAAAAAGACAATATGGCAGGACATAAACGCTAAAATGCAGTAATCCCGAGCTGCTTAAACAACCTTAACATTTTATCTTTTTTTCGCCTTTTGTTATGCTGATGTACTATGTGTTGTGGTATTTTTTTACGTAATCGTCAGGGAGGGGGGATGGGAGAGGGACATGTTGATTTTTCTTGGGACAAACAATTTGTTAAGACTTTATCAAAAACTTTTTTTTAAAGATAACACATGCAGTAAAATTATTTTTTTCAAATTCAATGTTGAATTTATTTGTTTCCCTGATTTCAATTACAAGATAAGACAAAACAATTGCATTCTTTAAAACCACTGTAAACACATTGGTTCAAAGAATGGGAGTATAACACATGGTATACAAAATAACGAAAGTCTTTTTTTTATAAATATAATTTAACAACTTTTTCGTTTTTTTATTTCATAGATTGAAAAGTGTTTACTTTAAAAAAAAACAAAAAAAGGAAAGTCCATAAAAACTGACAAAGTCAAACGTTATCAACAAACGGAACGAGTGGAAAACAACTGTCATATTCTTGACTTGATACAGGCATTTTCCAAAGAAATTGGTGGGCTAAACCTGGTTCTGTAGCTAGCTTAAACCCCAACTTGTATGACAGATTTGTATAGTTTCGTTGACCAAATTGGGTGAGCAACCCAAACAGACATAATAGGTTACTGTGACAATAATTGGGATCCAGCAGCCAAAACTGTGTATTCATACATCACTTACAACACAACTGACTTAAAAATTCAAACAAGCATACAAGTAAATCTAACAAAGATGCAAAAAAAAAGGTTGTAGTTGGTAGAAAATTTGACAATGACAGCAATTTTTAGTTTGAACTCATTGATTACCTTTTATTTTAAATTACATTTGGGTTAAAATTGCGAAGATTATTTTCCTCAATAATTGCTAACCATTTACCGTATATATATCAGTTAAAAAAGTCTCTGGTAGGCACATTCGATTTTAATTCCATTTTTCCAATTTATTTACTTCCAACTTGGAAGTGAGAAACGTCAACTTGGAGCTTAGAAATGTCAATTCAGAACTGAGAAATATCAATTTGGAACTAAAAAATGTCATCTAAGAACCGAGAAATGATTACAACATAATGTCCCTACCGGTTGTTCGTAGAGTTTTGTCAAAATAAATGTACCTAGATTTAGAGGACCATTGACTGAACTGATGTCCTCTAATTTCACACTGAAGTTATGCGACGTATTATAAATCTTCTTAAAAATTGATAAACAAGTATTATTCACATTATCTGCGATTACCTTTGAAAGTATTGGTTATTCACTTGGCATAATGCAATTATTTAGTATTGCATCTACAAGTAGATTTTTCTTAAGTTCACTTGAAAATAAAGGGCCACAAGACGACGCGTGGCAACAGTGGAGCACATGCTGTTTTCCCTTGTGATCAATGCGGTTTGTGTTGCTAAATCTCAAGTTTTCTGTATTAAAGATACAATGAATGAGCGTTGATTCTTGAAAAAGAAACCATGAGCCCGGAGGGCGAATGGTTTGTTTTTCATGAATCAACGCTTTATCACTGTATCTCTTACTTAAACTATTGTGTTGATGTCTTTTCAAAATTAAAGCCTTTTCTTAATTAGAAGGTATTATAAGTGAGTTTAAATAACCATGTTATCATGTTCAACGATGCATTAATAAATCTAAGTTCACAATTAATTGGTTAGAGAAATACAAATATAACACAACACGTCTGTCTATAAATTATCAGGCATCTGAATATCATCCGTAATTTACAAAATAAGACATATTCGAACCTATTTCTAAGTACATATAATAAGTATGCTACCGAAATTTCTATCAAGAAGCCTAATTCTAAACACATCACGATTTACTCTCATCGGGATTTGCGAATAAACATTTGTAAAGATACGTGGTAAAACAGATTGATTGATTGATTGAAAGATTGATGTTTAACGCCACTTTCAACACTATTGTGCTATTTCGTGGCGGTCAGTTTTTATTGGTGGAGGAAGCCGGAGAGCCCGGAGTGAACCACCGACCTTCGGTAGGAAAACTGACAATCATAGTCAATTAAGATTGGAGTCGAGTGCACCTGCCCCGTGCGGGATTTGAACCCACAACCTCAGTGTTGACTGGCTAGTGATACAGTAGTTCAAGTACTTAGACCACTCGGCCACCGAGGCCCCTAGTAAAACAGATGAAAGCATACTATATTTATACAATAAAAATGGACAAATTGAATGTAATCATTTGCTTTTCAATTATGTGAAATAGCCAATTATAATCCAAAAATAAACGGGAAAACCCGCAATTATTACAAAAATATCCACACTTACATACAAAATAAGAAAAACGGAAAAACTAAAAAATAGAGACAACAAAGAGAATACAGGGATTCGAACCTAAACCGGCAAGTCTCTACCTTTAACTTGACCTTTTAACTCATTGATATTAACCATGTTAACCTCGCGGCTACCAACTTATACTATACGATTGTCTATTTTGTATACATAAAGATACAAGCCCTCTGTGTCCGTTGTACCGATGTGTCTCATATGTTCATTTATATATATAAACTAGACATTTATATTATAACCCATGGTAGCCGAGAGGTTTCGTAGATGTGTTGATGTCAGTCACACATAACAGATTTTAAGGAAGGGTTCGATTCCCAGTGAAGGCATGTAAAAATTACAAGAATTCAAGGTAAGTTTTTAAATTGATTCCATTAGTGAACAGAAATCAGTAAATTGAAAACTTAATGAAATTAGGCACACAAATGAAACAATTGAATATAATTTGGTGAGTCCATTTAAGCGACAGATTTTAGAATATAGCAAAGTGCTCCTGACCAATTAAAGTGTAGAATTTGGTGTTCCTTAATTGTGAAGAATGAATGTAAATCATGTTCTTAGTAGGGGATTGTCCTTTTGTTTAGGCCTATTTACACGCTCAAAACAAAGAATTTCTATAAATGAGCTACAACTGCCCGAAGCACATTTATTAGGATTATTGCAGAGGGGGGTTATTGATTGAAGGTTGAATTTTGAAACAAACAAAAAACCTTAAAATAAGTTTGAAGTTACTTGCGCAGTACAATTGATACCGTTTGTGTTATTATGCGAATATTTGTAACTTTCAAATTACAAAAAAAAAAAAAAATAAGCAATGCTAAAGAGAAGAAAAAGAAAAAAAACTTTTAAGATTAAATAAATTGAATTAACTTTTGAATTTCCCGTAAAAAGCATTTTCATTGAACATTTAAACTCTGACTAGTTAAGTAAGTAGTATTTGATGTAAAGAGTTGGAATAGAATTGGCTGTGCAATACAATTTGATTTTGAATTTATTAAATTGAACTAAAAAAAACAAAAAGATAATTCCTGACTATTAAAAATATTACATAATTTACACTCATACTCACAATTAGGAAACTTATACAATTTCTACCATTTCATTGTAACGTTGTGTCATCTAACGTCTAAAACACAAATTATTAAAATTTCCCAATTTTAAAGTTAGTCTTTACATCACTAAGACCAATACATAAATGAAATGCTTAAAAGGGAAGTCATCCATTAATTATAAACTTTGCACTGACAATGAAACAAATTCTTGAATAAAAGCAATCAGGAGATCATTTGAACCTTGAGCACTTTACACTTTACAATATTCTAAATTTGTAAGAGAATGATAATCCCTTTCATCATGATAAGTAATCGCTAACAAGGATCTAAATCAAGTTACATGCAATCAATCAAGCATGTAAAAGGTAAAATCACAAAAATACTGAACTCCAAGGAAAATTCAAAAAGGAAAGTCCATAATCAAATGGCAAAACCAAAAGCTCAAACACATTAAACGAATGGATAACAACTGTCATATTCCTGACTTGGTACAGGCATTTTCTAATGTAGAAAATGGTGGATTAAACCTGGTTTTAAAGCTAGCTAAACCTCTCATTTGTATGACAGTCGCATCAAATTCCATTTACAGCAAAATTATCAATATATACAATGATGATTTTACATTTTTCAAATAAATACAAGAAGAAATTGCGTATACAGTTCAGACTATTCAAAAGTTTTTAAATGTATGAAATTCGTTTGATGCATTTTTGGTACAACTTTCGTCCAGTGGCTCTCGAACAACATTGTCACATTCTTCATAGTGATCGCTCTCATCGACATATTTATCATAATGATCTTCATCGTCCCTCGCATAGTCGTAGTGTTCATCGTCTAGATCAGTGTCAGCACTGCAAATCAGCTTATTGTCCATGTTTGTATATCGATCCTCTTCCTTTTTATCTGTAATTTGTTTTTCTTCCAAATAACATGATAATTTTGTATCTTTACAAATTGCTTCATCTTTACCTGGCGTCATGTATGTGGTATTCTGGAAATTATATGTCTTTAAGAATATTGAACTGAAAATAGAAAAGACAATTTTTCTGGATCAAATGGATCAAATGCTTGTGAAGAATGTTTTCTTATATTATTATTGATTTTTTAAATGGGAGAACAATTTCATAGTTATTTTATATCAACTTTCAATGTAATAATTACAGAAAAGAAAATTGTGATACTCATAACACAAAAGACCATCTCATCTTGCTTATAAGAATAAGTATATCATTATTTTATACACTTTAGATATCTAAAATGAAAAAGAATGCTTATTATCCCATTCTATTATTTATCTTTCTCGCGGACACCATATAGAATCGTAATTGCCCTTTGCGTAGTCCGTTCATGACTAAAATATGCATCCCACTTGAGGTTCCAAGAAGATCTCACTGACATCTTTGTATTACATTGATATAATATCAGTTTTAAAATAATATCATAGGATTTATAAATTCGAAACAAATAAACTGAGATTATTTTGAACAGCCTTAAATAATTAAGGAAAGTTGATGGTATTGATTACTTTCTCATGTGATGCTATCTAAAAACTGTTTTACACGGTGGATGCCTTGAACGTTTATCTTTTTAAAAGCAACATTCACGATGAGAACAAGCTTATCAATGCAATCATATTCTTTTCTAATATCGCTGTTATTCAAAACGACTGCGATTAAAAGGTAGACTGAGTGTTCTCCAAGACATTTTTAATTCCACTATAAATCGATGAAGCTTACCTCCTCCTCCTCCTCCTCCTCCTCCTCTTCCTAACAATCACACACACACAATTAAAACACCCAGTATCAGTAACAATACACCTGGTATAATTCCATAGTAAAGAGCTAAAAAATGTAATAGACAAATTAAGCTTAAGGCACAACTATGAGTAACACTCGTCATTGAAATGATATCCTAAGTGCCTGGTTTCATGTTCTCTCGTACCGAATTTAATGATGTTATATCTTCTTTTTAAGGACGTGAGTATTTGCTGAACAACTGTATATAAAGAAGGGGACTATTTTCTTTTATATTTATTTGAGCAAAGGAAATATTTGTATATATGTCCCTTTATTCTTTTCCCGACGAAATCCGTGATATTTTATTTGAACATCGGTTATCAATTGAGTAATTTTGTATTTCAGATGTTTGAATTCATTCTCAGTTGTGAAAATAGACTTTGACTTACCCTCTAAATGATACATTGACCTTATCGATAGGAGTTAAAAACAAACATTCTAGTAGATCTTTAACTTTTTTATGTATTCTAATAATAAAACACAGATTAAGTACGATATTATATTAGGTTTTATGTAATTGTGAAATGTATTTATATAAAAGTGAGGAGATTTGTAAATTATAAATTTATTAATTAACTGTTTACAAAACTTTAAATTTTTCGAAATACTAAGGACTTTTTGTTTCTACTCCAGGAACAGATTACCTTAGCTGTAATTTGCAAAACCTTTCGAAATTTTGGGTTCTCAATGCTCTTCAACTTCGTACTTCATTTGACCTTTTTAACTATTTCTTTCGAGCGTCACTGATGTGTTTGTTGTAGACGACAAGCGCGTCTGGCGTACAAAATTTTAAACCTGGTATATATCTATAATGAATTTACTTGGTATGATTGCAACTGAGACAACTACCCATAAAGACCACACGACTAAGATGTTAATAATTACAGGTCACCTTACGGCTTACGACGATGATCAGAACCCATACCGTATAGTAAGCTTCAAAAAGCCCCAGGATAAACAAATGAGAAACAATTCAAAAGAAAAACCCAACTTTATAATACTCTAAATATCAGTTGGAAAGAACTTACATAAGCACAAAAACAAAGACAAAAGACAGCTTTTATACATTTTATAGATTTTTTATTTTGACACGGGAGCAGGATCTGCTTATCCTTCCGGAGCACCTGCGATCATCCCCGGTTTTTGTTGGGTTGGTGTTGCTCAGTCTATATTTTTTTATGTTGTGTTTTGTGGACTGTTGTTTGTCTTTTCTTCGTTTTTTGCCATGGCATTGCGAATTTGTCTTCAACGCATAAGTTTAGATATCCTGTGGTATTTTCAGATTCTTTTCTAAAATACCAAAAGTAAGTTTTCTATTTTAACGTTATTATAGAGGTAAGTGATATTCCTTTGATTTTATTGTCTGTTCTTTTATGTCCCTTTTGTTAGTCCTCTGATCGAGATTTACAAAAAATAGGGATGCAATCATACGTTTCCATTCTCAAAACTAGCTTATTTTTTCTTATGCTTGTCCCACCCTCTCAGTTATTGTCTTATGTTATACTTAAAGGAATTTTTAGTTGGCACATAAGGTAGTTGTTTCTTATCTTTGAGAGTCTCTAATTGAACAATTTACAAGGGATTAACATGTTGGTAAGACTATTTACAAGGGTTTGACATACTGGTAAGACTATCTACAAGGGATTGACATATTGGTAAGACAGCTGTCTGTTGTTAAAAATACCAAAATCACTTTTTCATATTAAATATGACGATTGATGAATAAAAGAAAATGTTGCTTGTCTTTTCTTGTTTTTTGTTGTTTCCGTTGTTACTGCAGATTATTGTTGCTTTTATTAAATATTTATATTTTCTTTTATTTCTAACGGTAACTTAATACCTTTCTTAAACAACTCTGATGACAGTATCTTTGACACATCTGACATCTCTGAAAATATTGAGTGGAATATTGTGAATTCTAAACTTCCTTTCAAATACCTGGCATACATTAATCATAAAGTTGTTGTTACATACTTTATTGGGTACATACATTGACTTAAATTCTCTTGTAGTAATATAACTGAGCGATTTTTGATAATTGTTGTTCTCCCTCTTGTTGCTAGTATAGATATAAAAACAAATAAAAGTTTTTATTATTAGCATATCAATATAAAGAGATAGGATCTATGATAACGGTTTAATTGTTGATGAATTTATCATTTAATCGATCAAATTCTTATATCTGAAACTGTGAATTAAGATTTTTGACATTGTGGAATTCGAACACCAAATAAGTGTAGTCTTTCATAGTATTAGTTATAAGAAAATAATGTACTTGATAATTTTGTTATTGTCCAACCTTGCGTAACTGTCTAATATTGAGGTAGAGGTACAGTTCATAAAAAGTAGGGTATATTCTACCTATTGCTTTACACCGTTGTTTATTACAAGTTTCTTTTTGGCGATCTATATCATCTCCAGAACAATTCATTCCACCAAACATAGGTCCTGGATTTTCACAGGTTCTGTTTCTATATCGACTATAAAATCCTCCACCACATGTGACATTACATGTATCCCATGGTGACCACTCACTATAATCTGTCCAATTGCCATCCACTGAAATATAAAACATTTTAAATATTACAGTCAGATTGAATTTAAAATATTGTGAAGGTTTTTTTTGTGTATCTTTTAATTATTTCCTTTTGTTTTGCCTTAAATAATAAATTGTTTTACTATATATTTAGCAATATAATGTTATCTAAAAAGGAGATTTCGTGTTATCATGGTAAATCACATTTGCACAACTTGGCGAAAATGAAGGTTATTTTTCACCTTGGCATCTTAAAAATACATAAGCATTTTATAAATTGCTCTAGTTTCATTTGGTTCACTTCTTATGGTGTTAATGATATTTTGCATTCCTCAAAGCTAAACTTTACATGTTCAAAGGCGATATACGTTTTTTTCGATACGCTGATATGAAATTTTTTTATTGGTCATGTTTTTATCTTCTTCTTTGCCCTCCTTTAATTACTGTAAATTCGGATATTATTGTGTACATTTATTATTGCAAAAATGCAAGGTTAATTATTGCGAGTTTAGAAAATCTGCATACAGATAAATGTATCAGATATCAGAATGCGAGTTCTAATTATTGCGATACCCACCCAGTCGCATTATTCAGATTAATAAAAACCTCCCAATAAATTCTGAATTTACAGTCAGTTTGTTTGATATTCGCTACCGCTTATTATTTTTTATACTAACATGGACAATGCTGAATATTACAAACTCTTCCTTCTTCTTCTTCTTCTGTCGTTTTACCATCACATTCCAAACCACCAAACTTTGGCTTTGGATTTGTACAGGATCTTGATATTGTTCTATATTTCAATCCCCCATTACATTCTTTTGAACAATTTCCCCATTGACTCCATAAAGTATATTGTGACCATCCACCGTTTACTGAAATAAATGTACATTGACCTGTTGAACTGATGACTATTCAGATAACGTACAAAATTTAAAATTACCTTTTTTTCACTTTTTACACAAGATACAAAAGGTTGTTTTTTTATGTATGATCAGGCACCACTCACTAATATTTTTCTATTATCGCTAATTGAGTGCACCAAATTTGCTTCAATATCTTGTAATTTTGTTTTAGAAATATTGTTATGACACAAAGACGTGTAGACAAATTGGCAAAAGATACCTAAAGGGACAATAAAAGATCTAAGTCAATGAAAAAGAGATAAAACCATGATCTAAAAGAAAAACAACGAAAATGCAAACATCAGTCTACACAGGAAACTAAAGACTTCAAAACGAAAACCCAACCAAAACCCCGGGGATCTTTGGTGCTCCCGAAACTCTGGTCGAATTACTCATGGCATTTAAAAATTCTGCGTTAACCAATATCGGAGATGTTTCAACCTAGGAGAAGAGGACGGGATTACGACTATGAAAATTGGAACATTACTTTTTTTAACGTCATTACTGTTTACAAAGCAGGAAATTCATAATAAATACCAGGCTTAAATTTTTGTTTCGCCAGACGCGAGGTTTCGTCTATAAAAAAATTACTTTTAAAATATCGTACTTAATAAAGGCGAAAGTAGTTTACCGATGTTCAAACCTCGTAAATCGACCAGGAAGAGACAAATCAAGGAAGGAAACAAAACATCTTACGTGAGAAGGGATAGTTTAGATTTTGCGAACCAGGAAATTCTATCTCATAAATCATTATGCACATTTTAAAAAGTGTAGTGTTTTGCGGTTCCTCCTTCGTTATCGCTTTTTCTTTCTCAATGTTAATATGCGGGTTATGTTAGTATAATTAACCGTGTTATTTACTTAGACAAAGTAATGTATTGCAATCAGCGGTTATGTTTTCCACAACCTTTCCAATGCATTGTTTCCCGTCATATTTTGGTACAGGGTTTGTGCAGGTCCTATTCCTGGTTCTGGATTTTTTACCATCACCACAAGATACATTACATAACGACCATGAATTCCAATTTCCATAGGACGACCAGCCGCCGTCAACTGCAAGAAAATAAAGGTAAAAGTATAAAAGGTCTCCTTTCTCCGTATTTTATCAATTCAGAAGCTAATTAATGGTGGACACTTTTCCTCTGTTTATATTCTATATGATGTTTAGAGTCCAATAGATTATCAAAAAAAGAACCTCTGATGTTTTGATCCGTCTCAAAATGATAAGTCAATTCTTAAGAATTGACTTCGTGCATTGCGTCTTTTCAATCATCAAATGCCAAACAACTTTTAACCCATTTATGAATTACATTTTGGGTTTTACCTGACGGCTTATATTAACCTGATCACTATTGTCAATCAATACCTAGGATCATATAAAACAAATTAAAACGGGACCTTCAAAAAGAAGTGAAGGAAGTAAAGATAATACTTTCGACGTCATAAAAAGTGTTTTTTTTGAAAGATTACCTTAGCGGTATTTGGCAAAAATTTCAGAATTTTGGGTCTCAATGCTCTTTATATTCGTACTTTTTCTGGCCTTTTCATCTTTTTTTATTCTGGTATCCATAATGAATTTATTATATCTTTCTTTATATTTATAATTGAACAGTAAACTCAAAATAAGTTTTAAATACTCAAATAAATAGGTAACTAGTATATATATTTGTTTAGGGGCCAGCTATAGGACGCCTCCGGGTGCGGGAATTTCTCGCTGCATTGAAGACCTGTTGGTGACCTTCTGCTGTTGTCTGTTCTATGGTCGAGTTGTTGTCTCTTTGACACATTCCCCATTTCCATTCTCAATTTTAAGTTCATGGAATATTGTTGCTAACTAGAAAAATATTTCTTTTGTCGGTTAATTAGACTGCTTCTAGGTGTGCCACATTATAGCAATTGGTTATTGTTTTCTAGGCCGGATCGTTTTGTACACTAAAAGGTATCAAAAGTGTATATTCAGAAGGAAAGGGACGCCTTAGATATATATTATCAATGCATTGGAACTTGTCAGGTTTTGTGTTACACATATTCTCCTTTCAATTTCGATTTCGATTGCACAAATTCGAAATAAAGCACCTCTACAATGAAATGGGTTGTCAAAAAAGAGAGAAATTTACGTTTTAGTTGATATCCACTTTTCATTATAAAAAAATCTAAAATGTTATATGCCTCTGTGAAATGTCAGAGAAAAAATAGTGTTCAATAGTATTTTAAAAATAAGCTTGTACTTGTTTTTCTCTTCATGATAACATCTTTATCTGAACGTATGCATTTTATATAAATGTAAAAATGAAGGAACTTACAGAAATACAAAACTGGTTTATAGATTGTAAAATCGTATTGCCTGTCTCATAGGTGACAGTAGTAGTGCTGTTAGAGTTACAAATTCTTAGTGTGTATTTTCTGAACGACACGTTGTTGAAAATAAGAAAGTTATTGTAAAATTTTTGTCAATGCTCAAAATAAGGTACTATTGCTTTTCGCGCGCACTTTTTTAGTCAATTTCATTGTCTGCTCTTCAAAATATATGTTTCGTCAAAATCTCTGAAAGATTTCTTCTATTTAGGACAAAAATGGATACATGATTTTTCCTATGGTCTAATTATGAGTCAACGAAGTGGCTAGTACTATTTATATATCAGGTGCCCACAATGACCAGACAGTATTGATCATACCATGAGCTATTTTCATTATAGCAGTTTATCATCGTTTAGTTGCTGATGTGAAGTGTAACCTTATATATTATCAAGGACATCAAAATACTATATTCATTTCATATTTTTAAAGTATTTGAAATAAAATCTTTGAAAATGAAATCAATATGATAGAATGGTAACTTGTGTTTCAACTGAAATTGTGCATTAATACTGAAGCTACTGTATATCTAAGATATTTGAAGGTTATTCTTGGAAAATAAGATAAAAACGACAATATTATTTTGTCTTTTATGCATATGGCATATACTGTATTTTGTAGTATGCAGGTTTAACAACTTTCACAGTTTTCTAAATTTCTTAACATTATTAGAATAATGTAATTGTGAATTTTCGTAGCATTATCAAAAAAATAACTGAAGTGATAATGCATCGCTAATAATCAAATATTGATATTACTTGGGCATTGCAATGTGTTGCAGTCAGATGTTGTATGTTCTGCTGCATTTCCAGTGCACTGCTTTCCGCCATATTTTGGTACAGGATTGGAACACGTTCTATTCCTAATTCTTATATTTTCACCACCACCACACGTTAAACTACATGAGAACCAAGAACTCCAAATTCCAAATGATGACCACCCACCATCCCTTTTAATGAAATAAGTATGTAGATGCAGGCGACAGTTATTCACCGATGTTCAAATCCCGTAAAACAATTTAGAAGAGACAAATCAATGTAACAAACAAAAACTGAGGGAATCATATGAACCCCAAAAGGAGCGAGACAGGGTGCGTCGACAGGGTAAGCGTATTCTGCGATGTAGAATTATTTTATGAAGAAACGCAGAAATGGTCTAGGTTTTACTGATTTTTCAATATTTGCGGTATTTACCAAACTATTTTTTATCTTTTTGGAAAAAGTACTTTTAAAATGTTTTTAACTGACTGACACATCAGTCTTTTATGCGTTTAAATGTTTTTTTTTTATTTTATTAATTTCGTCTTCTATATTTTAAGCAGATTCTATTGTTATCCTCATTTGTGCTGGGTAGTTTAATATGAAGACACATATAAAGAAAGTTTATACGTGTTGATAAATATCAGATGAAGTTAAACTGATATCTAATTGGCTGTGATCAGAGAAAGGTTTAATTTTGTAGAAAAAATAAATAGAACACATTTTAAGAGTCAATCAACATTCGTATTTTAAAGATGTTTTATTATTTAAAAATTTTATATTAAAAGGTGTTATTACTTGGACATTGGATAATATTGCAGTCAGAAGTAGTATTTTCCGCGGGATATCCACTGCACTGTTTCCTGCTATAATGTGGTATAAGATTGGAACATGTCCTATTCCTACTTCTTGTCTTTTCACCATCACCACACGTTGAACTACATAACGACCAAGATGTTCAAATTCCAAATGATGACCACCCACCATCAACTTCAATGAAATAAGTATTAAGATTAAGACGATAGTAGTTTTCCGATGTTAAATTTCGTCTTCCAGATTATTAACAGATTCTATAGTCTTCCTCATTTGTGCTGACATGCTTAAACTATTTACAATAACATATTTGGAGATGTTAGGTTAAAGTTTAACGATTATGAAAGTTTAAGAAAGTGGGCTTTCAACAAAATCGTATCTCTGTTATTTATGTTTCCATGTTTTGAAAACTTTCACATTCGTGCATTTTTCCGTACAATGACGATGTTCTTACGTCATATTTAGAGTTGATTGTTCAATGACGTCAATAACACCGATTGACCTCGGGTAACTCATTTATAAAAATCATACGACGTAGGAGTGTGATTGGAACAGCCCGATCAGCTGACATACATTATATGGGTGTTAACTCATAGCGTTTGAAGAACGTCTTATTAAAATTATTTATTTATTTATTTATTTATTTATTTATAACTTTTGATTTTATTACTATATCTTAATTTTATTAATGAAAATGTGTTATTACTTCAATGACATTGGATAATATTGCAGTCAGAAGTAGTATTTTCCGCGGCATATCCACTGCACTGTTTCCCGCCATAATGTGGTACAGGATTGGAACATGTCCTATTCCTACTTCTTATCTTTTCACCATCCCCACAACTTACGCTACATAAAAACCAAGAACTCCAAATTACAAAGGGCGACCATTCACCATCAACTTTAATAAAATATATATGTAGAATTACTAAATGAAGAAATATTTGAGCTGAATTTTGTTTAGTTGTCTTTTGAATTATGACATTTATCAAACAACACAATATTTATATACTTTTCTTAAAATTGGAAATAAATTCTTAAAGTGAATGATGTAGCAATGAATTTTTTTATTCATCAAATTTTGTGCGTCGCAATTCATCTAGTAGTAAAAGTTAGCCGATGTCATAGTTTTTTATATCCTATATTGGTTGATTATATATATTGTTTGATATCAGACAAAATTTAGTTATCATCTATTATAGATATCAGAGACATGTGAAAATTCGTTAGGGGGATATCAGATATCAAAATACTGTTTCAAAACAAATAAATTTTTTTTTAATTTTTAATATATTATTTTCATTTTAATTTTTATATATAAAAAAAAGCAAAATGGACATGTTTAGTTCATTATGTTTTCTGGCGTATAACATTTTAATCCTGGTATCTGTGATTAGTTTATTTACTTTGTTATTAGTTGGACAATGGAATAAATTGCAATAAGAAATTGTATTTTCCGCTGCGTTTCCAGTGCATTCTTTCTCGTTTTGCAATGGTACATGATTGAAATACGTCCAATTCATGATTTAATGTTTCTCACAACCACATGCTATACTAAATAAAGACTAATAACTCCAAGTACAATTGATGACTTTCTGCCATTTTTTTCAGAATTATTACCTTTCTGAATCTATTAATAATACAGTATGTGTTTATTTGTTATAACGTCTCCTGTTTACATTTTTTCGCAGTTTAAGTTCAGAGTAAAATGCTAAGGTATATTGAAACTTTAATATTGATTTTAAACCTGGTACATGGATGCATAAATTCTATATACCTGACTGTATGCAGTGTGTGAACAGAGGGAACGAACTGTTGAATTGAAGTGAAGTTTTCTAGATCAAAATATACCATTTCTGTCCAATATGTGAAAACAGAAACACTATTGTGGATATATACCCCCCGAAAGGGGTATGTCTAAACTTACCGTATTGAATATTTAGATAAGTTATATACAGACTCCTTGTTATATCCGTTAGGTTAAAGAAAAACATAAAGTTTTGACTTTCGTTAATGGAAATATATCACGTGGTTTCTTATAAAACATTACTTACAATAACATACAGGTAAACAACCAACAATAAGGATTAGCTTGAACAGCATGTTATCAGACTTAAATTCTGGTACGGCTGCCCTATGTGGATGTTAATGCGTTTAAAATATCTACTTTGTCAAAAAAAAAGTGTACAATAGCTATTTTAGGGCAAATTTGTCAATTTAGGCATGTATATGGCATCATATTGACATCACACATTATGAATATATAATAAGGAGATGTGGTTTGAATGCCAATGAAAAAACTTTCCACCAGAATTCAAATGAACTGGATATAAGTAATTATAGGCCACCGTATGGCATTCAACAATGAGAAGAAACCGATACCGTATAGTCGGCTAAAGAAGGCACCGACATGAAAAAAGGATTCAAACGAAAAAACTAACGTCCTCATTTATAACAAAACAATCAATTTACGAAAAACAAAAAGGACAGATATGAACCAATGACATCCTCTGAACAACAGGCTCTTGACCTTGGACAGGAACATAAGGAATATGGTTGATTTTTTTATGAATGAGTGGAATGTAAGATGTGCAAAGAATTCCTTTTATAATTATAATTATATATGTATTTTACTTGGGCAAGGTAATGTACTGCACTCAAAAGTATTATTTTCTGCTTCATTTCAAATTCAAAATTTCCCTCCAAATTTTGGAAAAGGATTGGAACACGTCCTTTCCCTGCTTCTTGTCTTTTTACCACCACCACACGTTGCACTACAGAACGACCAAGAACTCCAAATTCCAATGGGCGACCATCCGCCATCAACTTTAATAAAATATGTATGTAGAACTTGTTTTATGGAGAAATCCAAGAAGAGAGCTATGTTTAACTTATCTTCTAATTCATAGCTATCATAATGCATATCGATGTTAATACTTTTGTTAAACATTTGAAAAGTTAATAATTAAATTGATTGCTTGAGCATTGATTTTGTTTTTGTAAATCATATTCAATTTGTTGAGTTTTATCTTGTAAAATTGTAGGAGAATCAAACATCTTCCAATTAAGTATTTGTTGGGAACAGTTGAAGACAAAAGTTGAAAAAATGTCATACAAGCAGTTTAATATACATGTAATGATATTACATTCCCCATAATACGACTCTTGCATATATAAAGTTGTATTTTTGAAATTGAAATTTAAAGTAATTACTTTGACAATGATATGTATTGCAGTCAGAAGAAGTATTTTTCAAGGCATTTCCAGTGCACTGTTTTCAACCATAGTTTGGGACAGGATTGGAACATGTCCTACTCCTGCTTCTTGACTTTTTACCACCCCCACAAGTTACACTACACACAGACCAAGAACTCCATATACCGTAGGATGACCACCCACCATCAACTTCAATGAATTATATTGATATGATTATTAGGTGTCCGAATAATACGGTATGTGACTATTAGTCAGAACGACTATGTTTTTTTTATATTTTTCATAGGTAGCTGGGTGTGCAAAATTACTTGTTTGTCTTCCAAACTGTGTTAGAAGGGAAATGCGTATCTAAATATGCAGTGTTGGTTCATAGATTGAAAAACACAATTGTCGGCCCCGAAGGAGAGAATCGTAGAAACTTTGTTGAAAGTAAAAAACATGTATTTGTCCAGATGTTTGCATTACAAAATTATAGGGTTCTGGAGCTTTTCTCAACCCAATTTCTTTCATTTACTTTGCTTACCAATACTGCTCTTAAAATATATTTGTCGTCAGAATTTAAGAAAGACTTCTACGTTCCAAGGACAAATCAATATATTAATATAGTTATATCGTGTTTTTGTCTTTTCTTTATAGCATAATCCACAAAATGTCTATAAATCAGTTGTACATAATGATTGATCATTAAAGGCAACTTACTCTCTTATACTGATAATCAAGTATGTATCAAGTCTTGTGTAGACGAAACGCGTGTCTGGCATAACACAAATATGACACTGGAATCCTTAATAAGTTTTATATTCATAAATACCTATACTAATGCTTCTTAATTGATTATTATATATGAGCTCAGCGCTTCAGATGCACGAAATTTTTGAAAGTTTTATTTTTATTAAATGAAGTACTCAATATGAACATTTCTCTTAGTGTTTCTCGATATTTTGAAACTACGTATAAAATGAAAATGAACTATATTGGTTAGTGTTTGTTTTAAATCGTACCGTATAAATAAGAATTCACAGAATTAACAAACAGTGAAATGTACATACATTGCTATTATAATAAAACATGACTTTACTTGGACAAGGTAACATGTTGCAGTCAGAAGTAGTATTTTCCACTTCATTTCCAGTGCACTGTTTGCCGTCATATTTTGGTAAAGGATTGGAACACGACCTATTCCTACTTCTTGACTTTCCTCCACCACCACAAGTTAGACTACATACAGACCAAGAACTCCATATACTGTAGGATGACCACCCACCATCAACTTAAATTAATCATATTGATACAATCATTACGTGTCAGAATTTACGGATAATACAGTAGGTGACTTTAAGTCAGAACGACTCTTTTTTTTTTTATTTTTATAGGTGCTGATTTTGCAAAAGTACGTGTTCTTCTTTCAATCTGTGTTAAAAAGGAAAATAAGTATCTAAAAATACAGTGTAGGTTGATAGATTACAAAACAGAAGTGTCTGTCTCGTAGGGGAGAATTGCTGAAAAATTGGTGAAAGTAGAAAACAGTCCAGTGACTTTTATTCCAAAGATATAGGGTTCTGCAGTTTCCTTCTTTTTTTTTAACTCAAATTCATGTATCTACCTTGACTATCAATACTGCTCTAAAAATACATTTGTCCTCAATATTTAAGAGACTTCTTAGTTCCTTTTGAACAAAGTAAATTGATGATTATAATTATATTATATTGTTGAGTGTGTCTTAAGCAGAATCCACAAAGTGTCTAGTATAATACAAACATCAGTTGTACATAATGATTGATCATGAAAGGCCAGAAGTAGTATTTTGCCGTCATATTTTGGTATAGGATTGGAACACGACCTATTCCTACTTCTTTACTTTCATCCACCACCACAAGTTAGACTACATACAGACCAAGAACTCCATATACTGTAGGATGACCACCCACCATCAACTTCAATGAACTATTCATATAAAGCTTGATTATATATTGGCCGCTTTTCATCACACAGGTCGTTATAAGTAGTCGGAACCTCAGGGGGTTTTTTTCACAAAAATTTTTACGACTAAAATTGATCACTGAAATGTTCATGACGGACGAGTGTTTTTACTCGTAAGATTTTTTTGTGAAAAAGAGTCAGTGTATTTTTCTTTTTTCTATTAAAGTGCAATAATATATCAAAATATTTTTGATGTTTTGAATCTTATAAAAAATAAATTCTTTTAAACCAACACCATTGCGTGCACAAATTGAGATAATTCTACATGTTTAATGCATGTTTCTATTTTATATAGATATATTAAGATTTTATGATTAAAAAAATCCGGAAGAATAAATCAAAACACGTATTTCAAAGATTTATTTTTCATCTTATCATTTTGCGTTTTCTTTCAGTATACTAAAAAGTAAAGTATGCATTCTGTTTTTCTTATTATCTACTATCTTATTACTTGGACAATGAAATGCGTTGCAGTCTAAATTCGTATTTTCCGTTGCCTCTGAAACAATACACGATTGAAGCGTACTACGTAAGACCTTTTGATTTATGGTCTTCCAAATTTTATATTTACTTTTAGCCAGAAATGTATTTTGTAAAAGATAGACATGTATTCGAACAAAAAAAGACAACTACAAGGCCAAAGGATAAATATAAATGACAACCATACGACACACAGAAACTAAATATTGACAAACACAATACCCAGAAAATAGAGGTGAACTTTGATGCTCCGGATGGGTAAAAGTTTCAAATTCACCAGTGACAACCTTCGTGTGACTTCTGTTTAGAACAAAAAACAAAACAACACGTTATAAATTTCATGTGTCCGAAGCGCTTTTCTGGATTTACCTTCATCAGCAACGCTCAAAGCCGAATATTTGAAAGCCAAGGATGTATAAGAACCGAAACAATTGAAGAGCTAGTACAACGGATAGGTAAGTGTTTAATCTAACCATAAGACGTTACCAAGTTCATAAACCACCAGTGCAGGTAATTTATCTAACCCTAAGACATCACCAAGTATAAAATTATGAAATAAAAACATTTCAGGACAAAAGACATTAAAAATCCAAAGTACAATTGAAACTCTAAAACTACAACAACAACTTGTATCCAGCCAAATTCTTTATGTGCATGCATAAGGCAGGGGCCTGTAATTCTGTTGTTGTCTTTGGTTGCTGTCTGTCATATTTGTTTTTCGTTTATTGTTTTAGCAAAAATCATGCCGTTGGTTTTCTCAATTAAACTATTCTACTTTTTGTCATTTCAGGACCTTTATAGTTGACCATACAGTATGTGTTTTGCTCATTGTTGAAGGCCGTATGGTGACACATAATTGCTTACATCCACGTCATTGGTACTCTGGTAGATAGTTTCATTGGCAAACATACCTCGTTTCCTTATTCTTAAATTAGGTGCTTGGGTATGGTAAGCAGTTCCTAATCCACAAGCAGCACTAGTCATGTTGCTGGTGATAAGTAGTTTTTTCTCAATATTTTATATTAGTCGTTTAAGTAAAAAATAAATGGTTAACTATTTAATATATAGAATTATATTAATCAATTAATATGCACATATAAACCAAATGATCATCAAACAAATTTCAAAGTATAATAGATAAAGTTTAAAGCAATAAGAACTTGATATCGACAAGAAAATTGAAGAAGTGTTTGAACGATATGGAATGCCCTAAGCTACAGGTAACTGCGACCATCTGTTACATTCGTGAAATAAGACTACCGCGAATACAATGCATAAGACAGTATGATGTAGAAAAAAGAAACTGCATCTTTGCACAAATATTATGCTAACAGAACAAACAATACAACGGCAGTCGTAGTTTCCCCCTGTTTCAAAAACTGGTAAATTCATTTTAGGCATCAAGGGGAAAACCTCTAAAGATCGGAGATTATTCCCTTTTTATATGCCATGAAAAAAATTAGGGGGCAAAAAGTTGTCGCTATGTCCGTCCCTCCATATGCGTGCCCGAAACAAATGGTTTCCGCTTGGTAGATAGAGTTTTCTTTGTTTGATTTAAATGTAACTTACATAGATGGAAGCCATATGTTTTAGTTGGTCCCTACAGCCATACAAGTATTTTTAACCAATTAAACACAAGGCAGATCATATACGTATGGCATTTTTAAAATTTTCTTTCATTAAATACAGTTCGGGGAGCATCTGTTGGCAGTGGCAAATTTCCACTTTTTTGAAAGTGGAAACATATTATCTTACGAAAATGTATAGAAAGTCATTTTGGTATTCGTTTTTATATAATTACGATTCAACACTGTATATAAAAATAGGATATACACTGTAATGTAAAGAGACTTCCAATATCTGGAGAAACGAGAAAAAAAAATTTGAACTCCAGCGGGTTCACAACTTCAATACGTGTGCAATCTGACCATGAAGTTTAAAGAATTTTGGTTGAAACTGTAGAAAACACTTTTATTATCAAACCAACTAAACATGACGAACCCTGATATCAAATTAAAGCTCTAACATGTATTGTTGACAAATAAATTAAACAAAATTAAAACCCGAATAATATACCCCAAGGTACAGATTGGCTTATCCGTATTTGGCTCAACTTTTCGGTTTTTATGGCTCTACAAATTCGTATTTAATTTGGCATACCAACAGTTTTAAATCGAGCGCCACTTATGAGTTTTATGTAGACAACTAATACACATTTTTGTTTAAGGGGTCAGCTGAAGCCCGCCTCCGGGTGCGGGATTTTCTCGCTGTGTTGAAGACCCATTGGTGGGCTTGGGCTTTTTTCTGCTCTTTGGTTGGGTTGTTGTCTCTTTTAGACATTCCCCATTTCCATTCTCAATTTTATTTTATTAGTCTGGTATCTTTGATGAGTTTATACACACCTTAATCATATGTAAAAATTGTTTGGCTGCTCTATAAAAAGATTTTGTTTTTAAAACTGATACTGTATGTAATATAAGATAAATAATATAAAAGGTATTGATTAAATTACTTGGACATGGCATGGAATTGCACAGGACTGCAGACGTATCGGTTGTACTTCCTACACACGGTTGTCCACCATATTTTGGTTCTGGGTTTGTACATGTCCTGTTATGGTTTCTGGACTTTGTTCCACCACCGCATGTTAAATTACATGATGACCAAGGACTCCAATTTCCGAATGCAGACCAACCTCCATCAACTGCAATAATATAAAAGACCTAACCTTGTAATGAGATCTAATTTTTTTGTGTAATGTTTGAAAATATAGTAATATCAGGATGACACTTTTTGATATTCTCATGTTTTGGAATTATATGATGATTGTATATCTTAAATACTTAATTTTCAAATTAAGTCACTTCTTTCTAAACTCAGACTGATTTAGAACTTGACATATTGTATTGAATTATGTCTATTGTTGAAGATCAAATGTTTATCTCTTCATGTTTTTGGTTTTTCTGATGTATGGATACTACCTCATTTGTCTATATCCCTTCATCTCCTTTTTTTTCAAACATACATTCAAGGCGAAATAAGACAATGAATAATGGGCAATGGTTGACCTTTTTGGCCGAATAAGGCGGACAACTTGGTGTTGAGGGCAGAGGTTTGATGGTCTCTGTTCAATTAAATTCACACGTCAGTCGTTTGAAAGTTTTCTGTATGGTTTGGACACTTGCTTTTCTTTAAATTAGTTTGTGGACATATGGTGATTTTCTTCAGTTAACTTAATGTTTCTGTCATTTAGGAATTTTATTTTAGACGGCAGACTATTTAAAAGTCTCTTTCAAATTAGAGTCTGGCGGTTTAGAGTTTAATATATTGAATAGACACTTTTGTTTTATTGAAGACATAATGTTGACCTTCATATGTCTTTTGATCTTTGTGGTCATAAGGTGTTGTTTCAGTAAAGAATTCCATCAATCTACATTAATCAAATCATCAGAATATCTGGTTGTTTTTATTTTGTAGTTCGGTTATTGTCTTTTTACTTCTGCATCACATTCCATGTTGTAATAAAAACTTATTAATAGCGTTAATATAAATGAAATTCAACAAATCGTCTAAATGGTTTAATTACTTGGACATTGTGTGGAACTACAAGAATCTGCAGTCGTTTCTGTTCTACTCCCGACGCATTGATTTCCGCCATAATTTGGAACTGGATTTGAACATGTCCTCTCTCTACTTCTAGTCTTCTTTCCACCACCACATGTGACACTACAGGATGACCAAGGGCTCCAACTTCCATAAGAAGACCATCCTCCGTTGACTAAAATAGACAATTTTGATTTGTAGTGTTCGTCGTATTGCCATGGCTGCAAATCACATTTTAAAACTTGTATCCGGAGGTTGTTAAAATTCCACTTTTTCTTTTTTTTTTATGTTCAGCTAGGTTGTTATTTTCTCTTTAAATTTAAGAATGACATAACACATATTGATAAGAACCATTCAATTTTACATCTTGATGATATAGAAAAGAAACATATTTTTATTTATCTGGTTAATTTCCAAACTCAAAATAGGTGACAGATTTATTGAAGAGAATGCTTTCTGTAATTTCGTCAAGAAATTTGAGGAAACTGAGCATTTAAGTAGAGTCTATACAGTTCAGACATTAAAAGGTAGACCAGGTTCTTTTTCTCATCATCCAAACGGGCATAATGCAAAAAAACATTTTTTGTTAAAACATAAGTATCATTCAATATACGGTAGAAACATTCAAAACTTGAAATTTAAAGATTAATCTATTAAAAATTAAGTATCATTCAGTGTATTTAAAAGTACCGAAAGAAACGTTTTTTTTAAATCAAGGGCAGATAATAAAATTGAATTAAAAAGGACAATTTGTGTGGATGTATTTTTCAACAAATAAGGCCCATTTTCCCTTATTTTTATTTGTTATTTCGGAAAATTAATGAAAAACAATTATCTTATTGCATATTAACCAAATCTATGGTTTAATGTTTCCTAAATAAAGGAATAAGGCAATATATAAGTTTCCCCATATAACCCATATATAAAATTTTCGTTGGTTTTCGTTAATTTCAATGTATTGAAAGAAAAAAAAGGTCCGTGACCACCTGTTTTTATAATCTAATTTGGAAGTACATTGAACAAGAATGTTGGACAGTAGTTGAAGAAAAATCGATCGCCGAACATTTAGACACTCCGGCTACATGAAGTGTCTGTTATGACGCATGTTCTATATGTCGTACACTTATGCTAGTGACTTTAAGGGGCCTAATCCCCTTATCATCTGTTCCCAGTGTGGTGTTCTTTTCATCTAACTCACCTGGACATAGTGATATGTTACATGGCAGTGAAGCAGTTTCAGATGAACTACCAACACATTGATTCCCGCCATATTTCGGTTCCGGGTTAGAACATGTCCTATTTCTATCTCTAGACTGTGCACCTCCACCGCATGGGACTGTACACGATGTCCAAGGACTCCAATTTCCATAAGAAGACCAACCGCCGTTGACTGAAATTATTTTCATTTTTTTTTTAAATTAAAAATAAAATATTAAGAATATTTACTGACTAATACTTTTGTCAAGAATTTTTTACTTGTAACCACTTTTTCCTAACTATAATGCAAAATTCCAATGTTTATGCTAAATCCCAGAGTGAAGCACATAACAGACCCGCTATTTATCATAAGATAAATGTGTTGTACTGTACCATAAATGCTTTATCTTTCAACTTAAAGAATGTTATTAAATGTTTTTGTCCTCTAAGATGATTTAGACTCGAGAAAGGTCGATTTACCGGTAAATTTACCGATTATGTCTTATACCCTATTTGACATATTTAATTGTTGCAAGTTGCAATTTGTAAGGCATGCTGAAATGAAACGCTTAATCTGTCTACAAATACGATCTCTCCAGTTTAGGCGATTTTTAAATTTGTTCTCCTCGTTTGTATATGAATTTACGATTTTTCATTATTCAGTAAATAAACTCATTAAAGATACCAGGATTAAAATCGTATATGCCAGACGCGCATTTCGCATAATGAAGATCGGTGGTGCTCGAATCAAAAAGAGAAAAAGGCCAACTATAGTACAAAATTGAAGCACATTGAAAACCAAAACGTCCGAAAGTTTTTTTTCCAGATATAGCCAAGGTGATCTATACCTGCGGTAAAAAATCCTTAGTATTTTGAAAAATTTAAAGTTTTATAAACAATTGATTAACATTTACAAGCAAATCAATGAAATTTCAGGTCAACACAGAAATGCTGACTACTGAGTTGGTGATACTCTCAGAGAGGAAACCTCCACCAGCAATGGTATCCACCCAGTGGTGCAAACTACTGTAACTTTTCCCCTAATATTCTATATTCAATAAACATACAACTAATTTCGGGGTTTTTTTTCACCAACCTGGACATGAATTTTTGTTGCATTGTTTATTTTCTACTCCAGTAGTAAGTCCAGGACATTGTTGTCCACCATGTAGAGGCTTTGGATTGGTACAAGATCGTGTCTTAGTCCTTCCCTAATCACCAGTACCACAACCTTTTGTACATTTTGACCAACTACTCCAACTTGTCCAAGAGCTCCAATTACCGTCAACTGATTATTGAAACAAAAGTTATAAATTTTTTTCTGAGCCTGACATATTGAATGTACACTTACTCATTGCTTATTATTGGAAATTTCTATTGCAAAAAACAGAATATTAAATGCCTATAGGTGGTTTCTACCATTTAAAGGGAGCCCTATAAATGATCATATTCAATATAACCTAAAAAAAATTGCAACGATAAATTTTAACAACATTTTAGAAGATTACGGCTGGACCAATACCCTTTTAATGGTGTAAAATAAGAAAAATCAAACAAGAAGAAAATTATGACTAAACCAAGGCCTAACCCCTTGCGACTAGATTGCATAGCAGACACTATACTAGTCGAAGAGATGTCATACTATTTCATATGAAATATTTACAGAATAGTTAGGTCTACTGAAAATTTGAAAGAAACCCATCTCGTATGGTTTGTCTTCATTTTTATGTATCATTCGATGCAATGAAAATAATGGATGTTATTTGTGTTTACAGGTTTATATTAGTCCTTTTTTTTTCATTTTATAAACAATTTTTCTCAAAATTTCGAATTTAACTGATACAAAATATGGAATCAAAACTAAATTACTTTTGCACCAACCTAGACATGGACTTGTGTTGCACTGTCTATTTTCTCCTCCAGTGGTAAGCCCAGGACATTGTTTTCCCCCATGTAATGGCTTTGGATTGGTACACAATCTTGTCTTATTCCTAACTTGATCACCAGTTCCACAATTTTTAGTACATATTGACCAACTGTTCCAACTTGTCCAAACACTCCATTTACCGTCAACTTAATTAATCAAACGTCAATCAAGTTTTTTTTTTACAATTTAATAGTTCGACATATTGATACAGTTAGATGCAGACCCAGCATCACATTAAGTAAACGCACGTTAACGCCGCATGCATATATTTCGTTAGTTAACTTCAGTTTTCGTGTTTACTAATCAACGCGCGTTTACTATAATTAGGTTAACGCGGTCAAAATGGAAATTTCTAATGTTTACCCGAGTAAACGCGCGTTACTCTGTGTCCGTTTAGTCAGTAGTAAACGGGCGTTTACTTCAGATTTCATAAGTTTATTTTTACGTACACTTAAAAGTAAACGGGCGTTTTACTACAGATTTCACAAGTGTATTTTTACGTACACTTGAAAGTAAACGCGCGTTTACTTTTCGCGTTAACTAATTGTGTAAATTATAAAATAAACTTCGTGTTTATTTGTACATTTTTTTTTTTATTTTGTTAAAATGACTTTTATCTTAATATTTTACGTATATGTGTTTAAACCGTAACAATTCAAAAACACTTTTAACTCGAAATATTAACTTTTATTAATTGCAAAAAAATCACTTCCAATAACTTTAAATAGCGGATTTTCTATATTTTCTATTCAAAAGTTACATGTACAAATATCGACTCACAAAAATATTTGAAAATATTATGCCAAAATTAAATACTGCAAAACTATGTGTACATGTACAATTATGTTGTATAAAGTATCATGAGAAATTGCTCAACATTTTTTACGGCAGATTCAACTAGGTTATGCTTCAAGAAACAAAATAGATGGCATATCGCACAGAAATTTGGTTCAAAGCCGTAGCACATTATCGCGGCTTTTCATCTAAAAGTTTATTATTGGTCAATTTATATTAAAGAGGTGTAATATCATTAAGTGTAATCGTCAATATGTCAATCTAAAATGGACAGTTGGTCTTTTTGATGTACCTTATCGTGTTATCGATATGTTAGGTCAGTGTATCCAGGATACGATGACAATCTGCGTTAACGCGCGTTTACAACAAACAGTAAACGTGTGTTTACTTTTTACAAAAATAGAAGACGCGCCTTTTTTCACGTTAATACGGAAGTAAACGCGAAAGTAAACTCCCGTTTACTTTTTACAAAATTAGAAGACGTGCCGTTTTCGCGTTAACGCGGAGGTAAACGCGAAAGTAAACGCCCGTTTACTTTTTATGTCTACTGAAGTTTCGGAGTTAACGCAGAGTAAACGCCGCGTTAACTTTTTCCGCCCGTCTACATGTAATGCTTAGTCTGCATCCAACTGTACCTTTCTATTGTTGTATACAGTATGGCAACGTCTGAGTGTTTTGGTTTGTTTTTATGTCACATCTAATTATACCCCAAATTCTGTCATTTATAGAATTTATATTTAGAAGCGTTTATTGTTTCTAATAGCAGACACCGATGTCATAGTAGGAGAAATGATTTCAAGTAATTTAGAAATCTACAGAAAAGTAATAGTCACTGCAAGTTTTAAAAAATTCATCGCAACGAAACAAATACATTTTGACTTTTATATCCAATGCAATGAATACATTTTGTAAAGATTTATTACATTTTCTATCGAAATTTTAAATACAAAGCAGGCATAATATACCTGGAGGACTATTAAAGTCAATAAGTAGGAGATAAACTGACAACGCAATGACAAAAACAAAAGCGACAAAAAGTAAAAACAAGTTCAAAAACTATATAAACTAAAAATTAGCACCAAAAACACCATAAAACACTTGAAGTGATTGCAGTTGCTCGGGAAGAGTAAGCAAATCCATCTTCACTAGCAGCATTCGTCATTTTGCTCATCGGAAGAAAAAATATAGAATCAATCTAAATATAAATTTGCACATACCTGGACATGGATTTGTGTTGCACTGTCTATTTTTTACTGCCGTGGTGAGTCCAGGACATTGATTTCCACCATATAGTGGCGTTGGATTGGAACAAGATCTTGTCCTTGTCTTAACCTGATTGCCAGTTCCACAATTCTTCGTACATGTTGACCAACTGCTCCAACTTGTCCAAGAACTCCATTTACCGTCAACTAAGTATTGAATCAAGAGTTATTCCGTTTTTTGACATTTAGAGATTGACATATTGTGTGGACACTTATTTATTGACTACATGTTTACTTCTGTATGTGGGTTTTTTTCTGTTTCTGTATAATTGAATTATATTATATGCACACCTTCTTTCATTAATAGTTTTCATATTAAGATGTGTTCGATTTGTCTGATAACAGACAATATAAAAGAAAAGTGTAGATCAATGCAAGTTTTAAGAATAAAGTATTTATTATAGTTTTTCTTTATTCGATTTGAGGTATAATTTGATGCAACGATGCAAATACAGCTTAATTTTTGTTTCCATGTGAATAAGGTTTTTAAAATTTTCTGTAACTTATCTTTGATCGAAATTTCACATTCAATTGATACAAATAAGGAATTAAACTAAATGTCTTTCGGTCGGACCTGGACATGGATTGGTGTTGCACCGTCTACATTCTATTCCAGTGGTAAGTCCAGGACATTGTTTTCCACCATTAAGTGGCCTTGGATTGGTACAATATCTTGTTCTTGTCCTAACTTGGCCACCAGTTCCACAATTCTTCGTACATGTTGACCAACCTCTCCAACTTGTCCAAGAGCTCCAATTACCGTCAACTTAGTATTGAATAACAGAATTTATTAATTATTGAAAATTAAATATAAAACTCATAAAATCTGAGGTATACATTCAACAGATTTTTATATTAAAAAACATGTGCAATATGTTATACCATTTAATTTAGAAATAAAGAACATTAAGAATTTCAAGTGATACAAGTACATAGGAACGTTAACATACTGCGGTATGTTAAGTGGTGTGTTTTTTGTTATCATGCTATGGTGAAGTTATTCGCGACTTTTATAAGTGTTTGCCACAACCAATTGTCTCAAGTCTTTACAACAAAATGATAAAAAAAAAATAAGATTTTTGAATAAACATATTACGTCAAACAGTCTAAATTTATAGATTATCTTTAAGAAGGTGATTAAGAATACAATTATTATGTTTACATTTACCATTGTTTGTTAATCAGAATCACTCAACTAAGCTATGAACCATTTTGGTTTCAAAAACTATGAAAAAAAACAAGGATTTTATAAGATTTTCAAATATGGCTTTTTGAACTATATGTAACAAAATTGTGAAAAGAAAAGTTGGGGTTAGCGGGCACATTTTTGTAATGGCAATACATGGTTAAATTCAGAGGACTCTGAAAATCTGGCAAAGAAAAAAAAAGAGGAGCAAACATCCTTAAGCTTGAAAATTGTAACCCATTTATTTTTTGAGTTACCGAGAATAAGGTGCTGTGGTGAAATAAGTTTTTAGTTGCGTTATTATCCTAGTATCTTCGTGCATAAATGAGTACACACTGTTAATGTTTTGCGTCTATAACAATTCTTACCTGATGGACATTTTCGTGTGCATGTTTTATAAGACTTGTAATAACGTCTCCTGTTAAAAACAAAACAACATGTAATGATTTTACGGAAATATTAATTAGATAAGGATATGTAATATAATTGGTAATGAGATAACTATCCTACAAACCAAAAGTAAAATAACAAAAATACCGAACTCCGAGGAAAATTCAAAACGGAAAGTCCGTATTCAAATGGCAAAATCAAAAGCTAAAACGAATGGATAACAACTGTCATATTCTTGACTTGGTACAGGCATTTTCTTATGTACAGCAAATGACCAAGATTAAATACTTGGTTCTTTTTTACAAAATGATTCGTGAAGTTAAGAAAGATTCTTTCATGATCGGCCAGTGGCTTTCAAATTATCATGTTCGTTATTGTTCTGAATCAGGGAATGGTGAACAAACTTTAAAAAAAAACCATCAGCATTAAATTCTATAAATGCTCTTCAAAAATACCCCTCTGTCAGTTTTGGATTAACAGGAAGTTGGTAAGCAATTGATTTGAAAACACATTACACAGTAGAGCATAATCCAACAAAGCTTGATACCAAGTTTCAAGAAGCCCTGATTCATAGTTCGTCGAGAAAATTTCTTTCATGACTATTATGCGGTAAGAATATATTACTTAGAAGTATTCGACAACCAGAAGTAGATATAAGGCAATACTGCCTTCTCAATTTTATAAAATATTGTTTTTGACGGTTTTGGAACAAAAACACATTTTTATTAGCCTTATTTAAGAACGTAAAAACTTATAAATTATTTGTCCATTTAATTCTACCAGTTACCTTGATCTTCGACATCTCTTCCACCCGAATGCTCCACATGCAATACTGTAATTATAGTATTCAGAAGACGTCTTTGAACATTGGTAAGTTTGAGTTCCTATACACACACTGTTAATATAAAACATACTTAAAACACAATTATTTAACTTCACAAACGCTATGGCTTTACACCGAACAAAGACATCACACATACCTTGAAATATTTCCAACGTCTTTGATTGTGCAAAAAAGCACGGACAGGTAGTTAGGATGGATAGCAGCAGGGAACCATAAAATGTGCAAGGCAAGAGCAATGTTATCCTTTATCAAAAAAGGGTATGTGATAGCCAATTAAAAGGTTTTTTTTGCTGCTAAATTAAGTATAAATAGAAATTCAAATCTTAAACACAACCTTCTATTAGAATGAAACGAGCATCGATAGGGGTATTTAATTCATGTTGTAGAAAAAATAACAGAAAAAGTTGTCTAATGACGATTTCCTGACGTTCGATTTGTGTTTTGTGTGCGGTTGAATGAAGGGGTTTTTATATGCATGATACAAAATAGTATTCAAGTTAAACACGTTTAAAGATTGTTGGGAAATTTTCCGTCACGTTCTTTAACTTTACACATATATGTCCTTCACGCCACCTACCGACATTGGGTATTATCTGTTATTAAGGGTTATCACAGGGGATATGAGATACTATTACCTTGCTTACATTTACGCCTTTTTGTTTCCATAGATATTTGTGTCATTGGCAATCATACTACATCTTCTTTTTTTCATATCTTATTAGTTGTTGATATTTTATTTAGATATTTAGAGCACATATCCCCTGTGACGCCTAATTAACAATTATATACTAATCAACAAAAGAAACGATACCAGGCAATGTACTTTCCATATATAATGTAATTGGATACACAGTACAAAGATAAATAATTGCCACATTGGTCTTATATTTACAGAGTGTTATTGTCTTATCAAAACCATTGATTTAAGGCAAATATGCGATATTTAATTTTTTTTTTTTTGCATTTTTTTTTTTATTTCAAAAATCGTTTTTTCACCCAAAAATTCAAATATCGATATAAGAACTTAAAACTTTAAACTTAAACATTGTCTGCTTAAAATTTTGAATGCCTTTGTGGATATTTGAATACTTAATTCTCATCTTCGAAATTTAGTGTCGACTTTGGTCATCATTTTTCCGCAAAATAAATTTGACCCCTGTGTTCAATAACACGGTATTTTCTCACTTTCCAATTTGGTCAGATTCTTTTAATCATCTGCATTTGCTTTGCAAATGAATGTTTTTCATCTAATAATTTAGTGGTTTTTCCTGTTTATTATATTTTATGATAAATTGGAGTTTAAACTTGTGTTTCGTTACTTTTGTTGACTAGTATATTATACTAGAGTGTCCTCATTTCAACATTAAGTTACAAAATTTAGATTGGGAGAAATCTCAAATCGGAATTTCGTGTTAATTTGATCTGTTGATACAATTTGTAATTATTTTTTGTTATTAAATATTTACTTATAGTGTGTTATATCTCACTATTTTTAATATATACCATCTTTGATAAGTATTTAGTATGACGATACATTTTCGCTTCTGTTCTCGAACTATCAACATTTTTTTTTATGTAAAAATATTTATGTACTCCATGTACTCTTTACAACAAAATTATTATATCTAAACCTACCCGCCATGTACTCTTTACAACAAAATTATTATAAACAAATTTAACTGTGTGCGTTATTTTTTTTAATAGCATTTTGTCCTAGGTTATAGTTGTCTTTCTGATATCATTTTACATCTCACCCCCATGTTTATTAATTTTGTATTTGCATTGTGTCATAAATCAAATTCACACGTTCAGTGTATGTTTACTTGTTTTTTGTTAATATGTCTTTTGATTAAGTTAAGTCATTTCAATTAATGTTTTATAGTGTGCCTTTCCATGTTGTGATGTTAAATTATTATTTCAGGTTAGAGTGAAGGTTGGTACCAGTGGTGGTCGTTAGTTGGTGTGGTTCATAAGTGTTTCTTGATTCTGTCAGTTTGGGGGCCCTTTTTAGCTTGCTGTTCGGTGTAAGCCAAGGCATCGTTTTGAAGGCCGTACTTTGACCTTTAATGGTTTACTCTTACAAATTGTGACTTGATGGAGAGTTGTCTTATTGGCACTCATACAACATCTATTGGGGTCTTAAACTAAAAACCAATATGAATTTTTCATTTTTTGCAAAAATGTAGTTTATTGTAGGCATTTTAAAAAAGTATAATAAAAAGAATGGATCACGGGGTTTTTTCTTGAGGTACAGGCTCAGTAAAATTATCAGATGTTGTGTAGATTATGTTTGGAAACCCCAATTTGTGTGATAAAAAGAAAACTAAACGATAAACTTTTTTGATAGAATATATGAGAATATAGGTCTTATAATGCGCTTTCGGTAAATAGAAAGAAACATTTGGGTCACTGAACTAGTTCTCTTGATACAAAACAAAAAAGGTAAATTCAAAACACGTTCCTTTATAAATGTTACATTTTCTGAGTTATCCCCCATTATATTGCAAAATTTAAAAACAAATACCGTGAACATGAATTTAATAAAAAAAAAACATTATTGCTTTCGTTTAGATGAAAAGACTTACAAATGAATTGCATACTTCTTTTGAAATTTGCACATTTCATTAAAGATCTAGACCGATTGTTTACTGCTGTGTTACAATCCAAGATGGCGTAAGACACCCGATCTACCTTAACTACCATTCTGGTCTTCAATTTTGTTCACATGGGATATGGGTTCATATCCCGTGTCACGGTAACCAAATTTCATGATTTGCAATGATATTTCACTCCACTATAAAATATAAGTATGTCCCTAGCTCGGTGAAAGGATTAAAGCAGTATCTTTATAGTGATTAAGGTTATAACACAATGTTGACTGCTGTACCCCTATTTTTGACATTTTTACCTATTATGTCTGTTTGTTTTGTTCACGCATCGTTGTCAATATAATGGAATTTGATGCGACTGTAATACAAGTGAGAGGTTTAGCTAGCTATAAAACCAGGTTCAATCCACCATTTTCTACATAAAAAAATGCCTGTACCAAGTCAGGAATATGACAGTTGTTATTCATTCGTTTGATGTGTTTGAGCTTTTGATTTTGCCATTTGATTAGGGACTTTCCGTTTTGAATTTTCCTCGGAGTTCAGTATTTTTGTGATTTTACTTTGAATTAGTTATTTGATCGTCATTTTTATCACACAAGTTTGTGTCAAACACACCGTCCCCCATCCTTATTGATTTTGACTTATTGGTTACTTTTGCTGGTGATTTGTTTGAGAAGACGATCGTGACGCATTCGAAAATTATATTATAATCCCCAGTAAAATGCTACATTCAAGGCATAAACTGCTTCCCATGACAAAATAACAGAATGGAGAGAGAAAAAACGAAAAACTTGATATTACTTTTTGTTGCAGTTTCATTATTTTGACATAAACATATAATTATAAGTATTGAATGTTTTATGATTTTTAAATCGTTGTTTGTTCGCACAAAATGTATTTGGTCAACACTTTAACACCACAATAAAATTACAAAAAAAAAGCATTTAATTTTCGATTAAAGATGCAAACATGAACAGAAAATTTCGATTTCAGTATTGCATTAAAACAAACAGTATCAGTCAAAGTAGAGAATGTACCACAAAAAGGCAAAAACGAATTGGACTTTCAAAAGAAAGTTTTGTTAATACTTAATTTTGAGAGATACATTTTTTGGCTCGGCATTGTACTTTATTTTGAATTGATCACCATCCTTGACCGTTGGTTGTTCCTTTTAAACTTATTTAGACTTAAAGTAATTGATTTCGGATAGTACGTCTTATCTTAGTACTAAGTACTTTGAGTGGATTGTTACTCTTAACTTGTAACTTTGTAAATTAAAAGTTGACAATATTTTGGTATAAATAATGACATTTGAAAGACAATTCTTATTATTATTTTATTTTTAAAAAATGAAGATTACAAAAATACAAATTCAAGATTTAAACAAAAAGGACTAAAATTATTGTTTGATACATCAAAATCTAAAATTCAATGTTGATGTCACACAATGATACTGTTTTAGAGTAAAAATTGTCTAATAACTCTGAACCGTATTCTATTGGCAACATTTCATTCTTCTGCGAATGTATTAATACACGTTTCAGACGCCTTTTTTTGGAAAGAAAACAATACAGATTATAGGTGAAAAACAAATGGTTTTCTCTTATTTGTCCAATTTTATGTAATTGTTAATGAAGAAAACAATTAAATTTTTCAGCAGGTTCTTTTTAAAAGTTTTCAATTTTAAAGATGATATTGCAAATTTGGCAGGTCACAGAAACGGAGTATCGACTTCTGTCCTCAGAGTAGAATAAAAAAGAAATGCTGCATAGATAAGTGATGGCTCTTCATAGTTTTCCCCTAAATTCTTTCAATGTTCAAATCTTCGCCCAGAACTGTAAATATTTTTAAACATTATTGACAAAGAACATATATATATATAATTGTAGTACACAATGACGATTTTTAGATTATATCATTAGAAGTAATCCACTTGGAGGTAAATCGGTTTAGGGAATTAGCTTCATGTAAACAAGAATTAACTACTGCGCAGTTCATCATTCTGTTTTAGTAAATATTTGTCTGGCAAGTAGTGTCAATTTCTTGTTACAACTGCGTATTATTATTTTTTTAAATGAAATAGATACTACATACATTTACGTATAATAGTTCTTGGTATCACTTACAGCAATGAACCCGTCTGTACTGTTTTCTGAACAAGTGGTGATGAGTTCATACCACTTAGCTTGGCAAAAGGTTGTTAGTTTAATCTAATAAACATTTAGATATATGTGTCTATATGTCCTACATTTATAAAATTTACTCATTTATTGACCAGTTGCCACATGCACATATGATGCATCATACATTGTTGACCAGTCAGACGTACGTAAGTAATAACACTTCGGGAATTTCAGGGATACGAATAATAGGAGCAGGGTATAAACTATCAAACCGCCATCCACACCATTAAAAAAGAAAGGCAATATTAAGGTCAACATAATGGTCTTTAACGACCACAAGTGTTCAAGCTTATTTTTTTTTGTCATTTAATGTGATATTGCAAATGTTGACAGAATGTCTTCATACGAATTTGCATAAAAAGACCCTCGAAATAAATGATAAGCTACACTTTTATGGATATTTATCATTGGCGTTGATGTTTTTTTTTCTTTCAGTGCTGAATACTTATAGTTATTCTAATTAAGGTTCTCATATACACATAGATATTTAAGTGGTTTTTAGAAAATTACAAACATATGGGGAAATAATTATTCTGCGAATTCATAGTAAAGATTCATATATTTTGGGAAATTGGAAAATAAAGAGGAAGTTTGTCCTACCGCTTTATACTTATAAATATGAGATATAACTTCCCGAAAAAAATATCAAAGTAAAGTCCACATTCTAAGTAGTATGCAGCACACTTCAGACCCAATCAGTGTTTGTATAAAACCAACAGAAAATTACAGCATATTTTAGCTACTTAACACACAAAAACTAGAACATTGTAATTATGCCAAAGCAGTATTCCAAATGAGGTGGATTAAGGCAACTGGTATTATACATAATTATAACGGAGTTTAACAATAAAGGAAAAAGGAGGTTTTTGTAATAGAAAATATTTAAAAAAAAACATCATATGCAACACAACACAATCGTGTGACTACCTGGCTTTCAGTTTTATTTTGTTCGAAATTCATAATTACAATGAAAAAACAAATCGTATTTTAAAAATTCGTTTACACTCATAATGTTATAATTGGTAACTTCTACGACGGTTTTTTAAATTATTTATTGATTATTTTATTTTGTTATTTTATAAAAAAAAAGCAAAGGAACAACGCTTTTATTTTTGTTTGTTCTTCATCTTAAAGTCATAGTGAGGCCTTCAACACGGTGCAAAAATGTTTTCACCTTACTGTAAGTTTAAACGGAATTCTTCGCAAAATGATTTTGATAAACTTAGTAAGGTGTCAGGGCCCGTATGCATAAAGCTACTTAAGTTAAGATTTGTTCCGAACGGACGGATTTTTCTACATGTCCTACGATAAATTAGTATTACGATTAGATATCTTAACTTAAGTGTTTTATGCATACGGGCCCAGACCATCAAATCGGGCTCAGTTAAAAAAGAACATACTGGAAAGTAGTACATATTTAAAACAAAATAGTTCCTACGCATAGGTGTAAATATGAAACCATGTAGTGTTTTTCTGTCTTTTTTTTATCATTTAGTCAGTTTTGAATTTACGACAACAAAACGTCCAAAATGACAGTTATCTGTGAGGAGTTTACAGATATAGTCGGAACTTACAGAATTTGCTTTAAATAGGCAAATTTCTTCAGTCTTTTCACAACTTGTTTTGATTTTTTCGTTTAAAAAATTATATGATACCGCCTGTAATTACTTTTCGATTTTACCATGACGTCATTAACGTGCCATAATGGATACGTTTGATGAAAATTCATTTCCCCATTGCAAAGATTTTTGTTGCATTGAATATGATCACAGCTTCACCAGAAAAATATTTGATTCACATCAATATCTGTACCTACTTCCTCTATTATATAATATTATATTATATAATATTTTGGGCAAGACTGTTGCATCTATTTTCACAGTACTGAATATAAAACGATCATTGCTTGCATTTTTCTTTCAAGCAAATTTGTAAGACAAATTCAATTGTTATATTAAAGATATTGTCGCGATGTTTTTTTTTTTAATTTTAGTAATAGACTTATCATAGTTTCTAATTTTTAAATCAATTTCGGGGAATACAATATGGTCGAACTATCTTTAATAGTTCGACACATTTTTGATTATTTTACATTAATCAATCGGAAATGTATAGAGCAACAACATATCAATTTTAAGAAAAATCTAATTTATATAATAGATAGGTTATTGATATTTATATAAAGCCAATTTTGAGAACGTTTTCAACAGAATTAACGGGCATTATATTTACTACAACTTAACCTTAAGTCAATGTACGTGTTAGCCATTAATACAGATATTGGAACATGCAACACTAAAACTTACGAAAACGAACATTATTTTAGTAACTCACCTATTTACAACTGTAACGGTCGGTAAAGTAATACAAAACAGAATATCTAATCTCATTTCAAGTTTGTTATTTTACAGGCACAAGTTACAAGTTACAAGTTACTGTTTAGAATAAATTTAACATGTGCCATGTTATACTCTTCAAACAAGTTTGAAAAATAATGCAATTTGATAATTATATAAAATACTTGAAGCAATTTAATTTACTGTCCATCCGGAGATACTTGACCGAGTTTCATCCCTTTGAATATTACATGTCAGGAAATTGTTCATTCATATGTTGACAATAAAAAGTACTTAAAGTATGAAGACCGTTAGTTTTCTCGTTTAAATTGTTTTACATTTGTCATTTCGGGGCCGTTATAGCTTACTATTTGTTATAGGTTTTGCTCATTGCTGAAGAACTTCTACGTTATTTGGTCTCCAAATCTTCTTATTTCTATACCAAAACTCGTTTGATTACTATAAATCGCAAAATCTTCAGTTTAAAAATGTAACAATTGCACTCAAACGGCTAACCAGGAAGACCTGCTAGGGATTTTAGCAACGACTAACCAAGAAGACCTGCATGGGATTTTTTTCCCAGTAGAAACGGATTATATTTTCGAAAATAATATTTTTTCAAGAAATTTTTGGAATCAAACAAATTATTATAAAAAAAAATCCATCTCCACCGCCAAAACAAAAGAAAAATAGTCAATGCCAACTGCTTTAGAAGTTGACAAAGAAATCAAGGTCTGTAGTTCTCTCCGAGCACTTCGGCTTTATCCACCAATAAAAACTGACCGCCACGAAATAGCTGAATAGTATTGAAAGTGGCGTTAAACACCAATCAATCAACAATCAATCATGTCAAATTCATGTAATGTACATTTAAGGATGTAGTTAGGTGAAATTGAAAAAATCTAGAATTCAGAATTGATACTATAAGTCAGAAGAGCATTAGTTTATTCATGTCTATCATCCCGAAATCCTAGAGGTGAAAGACCTTATATGATCCAAGATTCCATGTGCATTTGAAACTCTATAAATAGATGAAGAACAGCATAATGTCCGGAATATCTCTTTCATACTATGCACGTGCCTATCGAAATACTAATAAAATAGTGATACATCAAAGTTTTGACTGACCGCAAATGTATAGAAATCTGTAGAGAATATTATCTGTGTGTGAGTTAAAACTGTAAAACAAGTATCTATTTAGATCATTGATAAAGACCGCGAAAGAAATAAATATGTCTCATTGGCGATTTGTGGCAAACATCACCCAGTGGAAAATCAAGTACTTCTAAACAGACTACTTATTTATAATAAAGGACATAGCTGCTGACACGAAGTTTGTTAAAAAACAAATTTTATTCAATAGATATACATAAGTTTATGATTATACAAATACTTTTTGGCCCTTGGGAATCATCTCGGCTATGTATAAATTTTGACCGGTCCCTGCCTTAAAAGTTTATTAGCATTCATGAGAAGCAAACTTCAAAGGCAGTGACACACCCCTCAGTTCGGGGGAAAACACAGCATGGTTCCGAGGGAGCACAGCATGGCTCCCTACTGCTTTAGACAGCGCAGCATGGCAGCCGAACGAGTTGAACTGACGGTGAAGATGAGACAATCGAATTCTTGGGGGAATAATGAAATTTGGTTTATAGATCCAGACAATAAAATTTCATTAAGTCCAAAAACTCAGATGAGAATCAGCTGAGTGCCCCCAAGGATAGTGTGAGGTGGTTTAGCCTTCAATATATCAACGATGATAAAACATGCTTCAAAGGCAAGTAAAATTAACCACTAAAACTAAAGATAAGTGTATCAATATACATAAGTAAACAATTTATATTACACAATGAGTATATATAAATATGAAAATTTTTCAAAACTCAGTTAAACTTTGTTGAGCATATTTGATAGAAGTTGGGGGAAATCTTGATATATCTACAATAACTATCCGATTTCCATCAACCAAGTACTTTGATCATATGATCTTCTACGCGTGCTTTTCCCGCACTAGTTGCGGCACCCGATCGGAAAGAATGACCATTATACAAGTTTGGGTCATAACCGCAAAGTTCTAAAATATTCTTCAATTTAACTAGAAAAATTTGTCTAGTTAAAGCTTCCTTTTTACTTGTTATGAAAAGCGGATCAAATGGAAACCCAATTCCGAATTCTGAATGCCTAATACTTAGATATCTCTTTACAGCCAAAAAAGGGAAAATAGAGTTATTTATTTAAAAAAGTTTAATATCTATTCCCTTTCGAAATGGATCAGTTTTAGACTCTTTAAGTCTCAGAATAGCATAATCAATCTTTAAAATAATATCAGATATGCACAAGCTAGTTAGAGGGTCAAACTTATCGGCATTCATGACGGTAAATTCTCCACATTTCAAAAAAGCAAAAAACGCAACTATGCAAGTTGTTTCTATTAAACAATCAATATATTTATTATACACGCCCCTTCTCAGTCTGAGGCAAATTTCCTGTAAAAATCGAAAAGTAATCGGCAACCTAGTTCTAGTTTGTGAACCTTGTATGCGTTTAACAGATTTTAAAATCAGAGTGAGTCTTAGTAAAAATTCGCCAAGAGGCGTTTCTAGAGGATTATGATATCCTTTGTGCTTCTTTGTTACATTTGTTTGATTTTATAGTGATTAAGATGATAACACAATCTTGACTGCTGTACCCCTATTTTTGAAATTTGTACCTATTGTGTCTGTTTGTTTTGTTCACGCATCGTTGTCAATATAATGGAAATTGATGCGACTGTCATACAAGTGAGAGGTTTAGCTAGCTATAAAACCAGGTTCAATCCACCATTTTCTACATAAGAAAATGCTTGTACCAAGTCAGGAATATGACAGTTGTTATCCATTCGTTTGATGTGTTTGTTTTTTTTATTTTGCCATTTGATTGGGGACTTTCCTTTTTGAATTTTCCTCGGAGTTCAGTATTTTTGTGATTTTACTTCCGACTTCAAATAAGCATGTATTATACCACATAAATAAATTTTTATAGTAGTGTGTTTGAGTTTCAAAACTTTAAAACAATGTGCTATAAAGTAGATAAGTACGTCCTCTGATATAAGAGGTAGATTATGTGAATTATATGTAATACCATTCAGCAACAAAAATCTAACAAAGTGAGAAAAACCTATATTATACAAAGATCTTGTTGTATTAGCACCCTAATTGTTCGACTATTTCATTCAACACCACATTACTTCGTAGAAACTCGGGCAGTTGTGTGGAAGCTTCTCTGCATGTGGAGCGAGGCGGTGGAATTTTTCCATCTGCAAACGAGATAAAACGTCACTAATTTTATTTTTACGACCCTCAATATGTTTTGCAGTTACCTGGAAGTTGTTTACACATGCGCACCACGTTAACTGTCGCATAAGCTTCATAATTTCGATACATTTTGATCTTCCCTTTTTAACAATTGCTACAGTAGCCTCATTGTCACAAAGAAAGAGGATTTTCTTGCATTTCCATTCTCTACCCCATAAAAGAGCAGCTACTACTATCGGATATAGTTCTAGGAATGCCATGGATAACGATTAACCGTTTAAAGAAGGTAATTCTTTTGGCCACGTCGAGCAAAACCATTTTCCTTGATAATAACCTCCGTACCCAATTGTAGAAGAGGCATCGGTGTATAGTTGCATATCGAAGTTAGAAGTGTAATTGGAGTCGTAAAACATGTTTATTCCGTTCCATTTATGTAGAAATCGGAGCCAAAATTCTAAGTCAACTCCTATTTAGGGAAGCTGCACATGCACCTTTGACCTTGTATGTACTCTCATTTTGTTTTAATTTCATAATATTTCACTAAAATATTGCAAAAATGAAATATTCTGAGTGGATTGAGTCTCAAAAACACATTTGAGGGAAACTGCCTTGAAACAGGGGTCTACCACAAATATCAGTAGGCAGAGTAACATTTAAGAAATATACAGTAATTATCACTTAAAGGGAACCATTATATGTCCCTATCTAGAACGCGGCGTTTTTACGCAAGGACTTATTGAACCTCCAATGGAGTCAGTAAAATTTTATATGGATAGTTAATTCAGCTTGAACACTTCAATTACTCATTCATTATCACATTTCGCACATAAAGTGTGGTAGTCACCCCAACATTTTGATTAGTTAGCCTAAAAAAATAAAATTTTGAGGAAATGAAAGGTATAAATGGACTAAAAGGGACCTTATAATGAAGACAAAGAGGTGCATTAGTGATGTTTATGATCTTAGATCGATCTTTTATATCATATTCAACTGTGTGTATGCAGATGGGATGCATATTTGATCATTTATTGGTCCACACTTTGTTCTATCATGATGCGGCGTGATTTCGATTTTTCGAAGAAATTTTGCTCAAATCGCTGTAGATGTCGTCTTACATTATACTAAATTTCACATGAATAATTGAACTGATTATGATAAAACTTGACAGTAATGCTTGAAGTTACCAATCTGTTAAAAGAAATCAAAGCACTGTAAGCGCTGTAGGCAGTTAACCAAAAACCAAGGCAAACATAATTATGAAAACTGTGGCTATGTTGCTTCATTTTTTTTAAGATTTAAAAGAACAAACATTAAACATTCATATATTGTGCATTTATGTTCATTTAATGAATTAATTATTAAGGCAAATAATTCATATTTTATCCAGGTTTTCAAAAGCAACGCATATATCAAGTATATTTTTAATGGTCATGTGTCTGCAGTGGTACAAGTTCGAAATGATTGCAGTTGTTCTAGTTGATAGTTAACGTTGGTATTAGTTGACTGTTAGTAGTTCAAGTTGACTTAGTACGAGCTTGTAATAGTATGCATGGACTTGCTTCCCTGGAAAGAAAACTGAGTTTGTGTTCTACAGTGCAAAAGTTATGAGACACAAATCAGACAAATGTTTGCTACTACGGGGATCAAAGGTGAGGTCTGACTGACCTGCCCATAGTAAATGTAAATGACCCCCGCCTTCACCCCAAGTCCATGATGTCTAAGTTTGGAATAAAATGACAGGTGATTATAATAAAGTTGGTCAAACACTCTTGGGCTTGAAAGATATGTTTTCTTTAAAATGAGCCATATTAAAATGAAATTTTTTATAGAACCAGAAATTAT